TAGAAATTATGCAGCCTTCCAGGGTGTTATAATTGCAAATACAACACCTCCTAACTGGGTATGGGAAAGCAGGGCAGCATATCACAGGAGCAAACAGCTCTCCCAGCAACTGTTCCTCTTATCTCCCAGTAGGGCATTAACCCGCTGTACAAACTGTGAGGAAGAAAACCACAGGCAAAGCAACCTTAAATGTAATATTTGCCTAAAAAGAGACAGCTAACTGGAAAACAACCTACAGGATCTGCTGATGTCCTGGTATGCTGAGCAGTGTGCATCTAAGCAGCTGCAAACTTGGGACGCCCCAAAGAATAGGAAGGGGGCATGCAGATTTCCAAGCAATCCCCAAAGGGAAGGGCTCACATAGGTAATAAATCAAAGGCGCTGACTTCTGGCAACTGTGGAGAAGCCCAGGTGGGATGAGTTTGAAGTCAGAGTGCATTTCTCAGCATGTCACTGGGATCTTGTGGCAGCTAAGGGCATCTCTGCCCTGAAAATGTCCTACACCAGCCAGCTGCAGGTTCAGACATGCCAGGCTGCTCTGCAAACACTGACTTGCCAAACCAGGTGCAATGTAATCCCATTTGTGCTGTTAATTAGCACTGTCTCTCAGCAGCACTAAGGAACCATCTGCAGCGCTGTGTGAACACAGCTATGCTGCTTCTAGTTCAGGAGGTCGGGCCGACAGAGTGCATGGCCCGCTGGAGCACACCCGTGTCTGATCCAGTAAGTGCGTGGGCTAGACGTGCCCTAACCAAAATTAATCAGAGACTTGGACTCATGGCTTTGTTCCACCACTTCACTTCCTAGGCTAAGTACAGTCAAAAAGCCCAAGGCTGAATCGATTCAATCTTCACAAGTTAGTCTAAGCTGTGTAGGCTGAACCAATAAGCAAACAAACAGGCATTCATTCACTTTTGATTCCAGAAATGCAGCTACATGCCTACAGTGGCCTAGGCCAGAAGCTAGGGGGTGCTAGATCAGACAGCTTGGGCCAATATTAGATCACCCACCCTACAAGGGGAAGGGGGGGAGGGTGCAAAGCATCCTGGGATGCTGGGAGGCTGTGAATAAACTTGAATCTGGAGGGAATCTGGGATAGAAGTTCAATAAACCAATTTAACCTAAATCAGTTAAGTCTGATACTACATCCACCCAGGTTTACCTTAAACCTGTGTTAGCCAATTTGAAAGTGGTTTGTATACACTGAGCTTCTGTTGTGTTACAGACTTGAACCAGTTTCTGATCACTTATACTGGTTTGTGTGTAATTTCTGTCCCTATGCCTCGTGCTTCAGGCCCCCCTCTGAAAGCCAGGGATGATTGTACTGCCCTAGATCACTAGTGTGTTGTGGGGTGAAACTGTGAGGTGCTAAGATACTAGAGGCCATATAGGAATGAGACATAGAACCTGGACCAGTTGCAGAATGAAAAGGGAATCGCCTCAAGTGAGACCACGCTGCGAGATTATCTTGTTCTTAAGGAAGCAACATTATGGGTGCTAGGATCCACATGACAGGGATACGGATTCTCCTGGTGAATCCCCTTGCTAGCAGGAATTAAAACGCTGGTCACAGACCTCCTCCAAATGACTGCAGAATTGTTCGCTGAGGACATTTCCCCCAGCAGCATCTAGTGGCCGGAGCAGGATTCTCTTTGCATGAATAGCATTTAAACCTCATGTACAGCACAACTGGTGCCATTCAAACACATGCACAATGAGGAGCAGAGTAAGAAATGTGGGTCACTGAACCAAACAACTCTCCCTCAGCCACTGAAAAATGTTGTTTGCTGACACCCTGTGGCTGGCTCTGGGAAGCAGAGCTGTTACAAGGTCCCTGGAATCCCCTTTGGATTGACACAGGACTCCTGGCTGCAAGTACATATCCTGTTGGGCGTTGCAGGAGGGAGGGTACCGAACAATCAGCGGCCCATTCACCACAAGCACTATAGAAACTGCAGCTCTGCTGGAAACACCAGGCTTCCCGACATACCTTCCCCAGGGGCTGGGGCTGGTTGCAAAGAGATTCTTTGGTGCTACAGATGACAACACATCCTATATATTAAAGGTCAGCCCTATGTGCAGGCTCAATCCAAAGCACATCTAAGACAACAGAAACCTTTGGGTGGCTTAAATGTCCTGTGACCTGTAATGAAAGAGGACCTTACAGGAAACCCTAGTCAAGAGCTTGGGTGCTTTTTCATCGTAGGATCATCCAGTGTGGTTCTGATATATAGTTCTGTGTTGGGCACAAAGCATTGCTTTAAAGCAGTCTATAAGCCTCTGGGCAAGAGGGACTGGCCATAAATAGCCCTTAAGAAGTGAGTAGGCTGGGTGACAACCTTACTGCCATAGAATCACCATAACCTGCTCTGTGGTGTCCCCTCATCCACACTGGGACAGCCGAGGGGGTCAAAGGACAGCACTGCCTGTAGTCAGCATTTGGAAAGTTGCAAATAGATGTGATCAGCCCCTGGCTATACTAGGGGCTGCCCAGGCATCTGGAGAAACCCAGAATTCAGCAACTCATAGACAGAACTGCAGTTCTCCGGCTGGTTATTTGGCTTTTATTTTAGTTCTTTTCTTTCTACGTACTTAACTCAGGACATATCCAGCTTTAGTTTATATGGGGAGAGGGGGAGAAACAAAATAAAGAAGCCCCTTTGAGAGAATCAAAGGGAGTGATAAAGACTAAAAAACATTGCCCTGGAATCTACTAGTTATAGGCAAGTCCCTTGCTGGAAACACATATAAGGTTGCATTGCCTTCTGTCTAGATATGTATGTGGCTCTCATCTCTCATAAAATGCAAAACTCTAGAACTCTTGGTTCAGAGACAATACTTTTTATTAGACTAACTAAGAAATCGCAACAAAACAAATCTTTTTCTGCAAGTTTTCAAGCACACATGCCCTTCCTCAGGCTCAGGGAAAATTAAAGATGGCAAAAAGTCCCCATAAGTAGAAAATAAACTTCAGCTCTCATAGCATTTCACAGTAAACAATTTCATTAATTAGCCTTCACACCTATGAGGATTTTCCCATTTCACAGAAGAGAAAACTGAGGGACATCAAGTGACCTGTCCAAGATCACCCAGTGAGTCTAGGAACAGAGGAAAAGAGCCCCACATTCTGAACTCCAGTCCCATGCTCCTTGAAAATGCCTGTGAGCTAAATATTCTGCTTACAGCCATTAGATGATAACTGGTAAACCCTGAATCTAGCCCCTGGAGAGGTTTCTGGCCTCACTGAACAAGAGAATGGTCCTTTCTGCCAACCATTTAACATGCTCCTAGATGTGGTCACGCGACACCACCATGAACCCACGTGAAAGTAACTAACAAGCTACAGCATGGGTCAGCTGTGCACTCCCTGTCCCGAGGGTGGTTCTTCCCCATGATGTGCACATGTAATTTATTTCATTCATTGACAAAGTTAAAGGCTGCTAAAAATAGACTCCTCATGTCCTTCTAGTCTTAAGATCTATGAATCTCTGTGACCTCAAAAAAAAAAAAAAAAAAAAAAAAAAGCAAAGCACAAATGCTTCTGGAAAATGGATGAGGCACAAATATTTCATAAATGGCTTCAAAAGTAAAATTTCCAGACATACATCAAAGATCCTATTGCTCCATTTGACAGTATAAGTATCTTTTTCTTTAAAAAAAAAAATAATCTCCATTGTAGTATAAAGTAACAAAACTTTAAGCAAGGCTAGCATGGAACAGAACAATACCTATAGAATTCCCATCGCTCGGCATGAACAATGACTCCAGATATTAGAGTTATAGCTGTTCCAGTCTCCTAGATTCCTATATTTAATGCATTTCATTGTGTCTATTCACACCACTGCTGCTGTCAATCTGCAGTTTCATTATAAATCTGTATTTCTGAACAAAGTCTGGGTCACTTAATACACTTCCAGAAGTACAGCTCAAGTTGAATTTGTTCCTTGATTTTTTTTATTTTTTAAAGGAAAATGGCTTTGCCATTTCCCTTCTGATTCACATCTACAGCATTTTGGGATATTTTCAGATAGACAGTTGTACTAAAACAGCCCTAGACTGTCCTGTAATTTTCTGCATCCCTACTGAATGTGAAAGTATTTTCGTGCGGTCGAAATGGAAATTTCCTCCTTTACAAGCATCTTCCTCCTTTTACCCAAATCACTCATAGACTACAGTTCACAAAATCCAATACTTAGTAACCAGCAATTATGGGAATCACATACATAACAATGAAATGGGAATCATCTGTTCTTTAAACAAAATTCCAGTTATTTATAGCATAGTATAGACTAGAGGCTATGTTCATATAAGCAAAACCATCTGCAAATCTGCCAGTGTGAGAAGCTATTTTAGAAAGCTCAATTGCTAGTCATCAACACAAAACATTAATAAATATGAAACTAATGTTGTCCCTTTGGGAGTAACATGGAAGACAAGAAAACAAAGGCTCCATAAGATCCCAAAATCCTCCTTCAAAAACCAAGAACAAAAAAAACCCCTATATGCCTTTTTTCCTATATATTTCCAATACCAATACACTCTTAGAAATGAATAAGCAGAATATTTTGCTCTGATGTAATTGATTTTATATGAGCCCTTCTCATAAATACTGCTTTACAGCTCTACATTTGCTTACTCATGTGATATAGATGGGGAAACTGAGGCAAGGGACGCCTATATCTCAAAGAGAAAACGACAATCAGGACAGGACCCCAGAATATCTGCTCTGGCTGCTTACAGATGACTGCCTCCCCTCTCTCTAATCACTGCGGTGATGTGGTTAATGCTTGCTCAGCAACATCCCCAGTTTGCTCATGAAAATGTTCCCTAGACTCCGGGGAGGAGGAGCCCGGGCCCAGCCGGCAGGAAGAAGGGGGACGCGAGCATCTCTCGCCCCCCGCACAGACTCAGCAGCCCTGCCGCTCCTTCTGCAAGAGCGCACCGAAGTGACGCAAGCGTTCCTTCCCTTATGACGTCGGGGGTCACCTGGCAACGGGGAAGAATGGTAGCCTTGACAACGCAAACAAGCGTGCAGAACAAAAGCAGCCGCGGAGCGAAGTGGAAGCTGCGGCAAGGGCTTGAGCCCGCCTCGCTGCGACTGCCCGAGGGGCGCGGATCTCGGCGGGGCTCCGAGCCGGGTGAAGAAGCCGGGACAGGGAGGCGCAGCCTGCCCCCGTCTCCCTTGATGGGCATCCAGTGCAGCTTCTCACCGAGACCCTGGAAGCATCAGGCACTTTACTAGGGAATCACATGTAGTGCCGTGTGTGTGTGTGTGTGTGTGTGTGTCTTTTGTTAGGGAATCACATGGGTGCTCATTTTACTAGGAAATCGCATGTAGTGCGTGTATGTGCATTTGTGTGTGTGCGCATTTTACTAGGGAATTGCATGTAGTGTGTGTATGTGTGTGTGTGTGCACATTTTACTAGGGAATCACGTGTGTCTCTGTGCGTGTCTTGCTAGGAAATCACGTGCGTGCGCATTTTACTAAGGAATTACATGGAGGGTGTGCGCATTTTACTAGAGAATCCCGTAGTGTATGTATGTGTGTGTGTGTGTGTGTGTGTGTGTGTGTGTGTCTTTTGCAGGACATCCATCTAGAAAGGACCTGCTCTAGAGCAGCATTTTGCAGCCTGTAGGCAGGGCCGGATTAACACGTAGGCAAACCAGGCACATGTCTAAGGCCCTAAGTGAAGAAGGGGCCCAGATGTGCTTATTTTACATATTATAATTGTTGAGTGAAAACAAGTAGGGGCCCACAAGTTTGTTTGCCTAGGGCCCACTAAAGGGTTACTCCGGCCCTGTCTGTGGGTCGTGACCCAAAAGTGGGTCACAAGAATATATGCAAGGGTGGTGAAAAAAACATAAAAAATGGATCCTTCTTTAAAGGAGAAAAACATGGGAAACTGTGTTTTTTCCCTTGCAGGCAGGCAGGGTTCCAGCCTGCAAGGGACAGCTTGGGGGCCCCCCATGTCCCACACACACACACTCCCCTCCACCCCACACACTGGGGGGCTGGGGCCTGGGGGCAGCGGGCCAGGAGTGAGGGGCACTGGGTCAGGACTGGCCATCGATGTTTACAAATGGGTCCTGGTACAAAAAAGGTTGAGAACCACTGATCTAAACTAGAGTACAAGCCTTGTGATATTTTCCCTATAGCATCTCCTGCCTTCCCTGTGCTGTTTAAATTCTTTATTTGGATTTGTACAATGTCTATCCAGTGCTAGGGCAACACAGCAACTGATGATTCATGCTATTTTTAGAATGACTGTGTACTTTTATTTAGCTTCTTTTTTTTTCTGCCAAGCAGGTTGATGCTGGGGAGATGTGGCTCTTTAATTTATCCGTGCATTAAAAATAAGTACAGCTTGTTAATTGATCCATACACTACGGTTTGCTGCTATCAAGCTGCTGAAGCATAAAAAATGTCAGAGGCATTGACACATGCACCAGAAGATTGTAATGACACAGCAATTCTTCTTTTTCCATACAGAGCTTAATAATGCTCATTAGGTCTATTAGCACTTCTGTAGGGATTGGCAGTATTTCAAAGTGCTGTGCAAACAATAATTCATCAGAAAAACCTTAGGGGCATTAACAGTTTGAAATTAACCATAGGGAAAACCATAGGGTTTTATGATTTGTTAAGTGTGTTACAAAGCAATGTTTCTCTCAAAGAATTTCACAAAAAAGTCATTGCTACCTGCATATAACCTGGACCAGCAAGGACCTGAGTACTACATTATGTTTCACTATAATGGCAATACACAATGTTCACCATCCTGCAAGAGACCATCTGCATTAGTAGTATAGTAGGAAGGTTTTAGATCTCCGAAGTTTGTATTGAGAGGGTGTGAACTTCCAGATGTTTGCCACCTTCCTCCAACATATTCAAAGGAGTTTCTTATGTCATTATAGCAGAAGTTTGATGATGACATAGGCATACCATCCATACTGATCTGCTTAGAGCTCACAAGATAAACAGGTGAGCTGGATCAGACCCGTAAGGGAAGCCAGGTATTGTGGGAAGTGAGGAGGGTTCTCAAGGGAATGTTCTTCTTTCCCCTTGCCTTGGACCTGGAGCCGATAGAGCATGAAAGCCAAGTCAAGGATATGGGAGGTTTTAGGTTTTGGGTGGGAAGACAGAAGGGATTTTATATGCAGGAAGAAGAGGCTGTCCTTAGCAGAGGGGAGAGTGCAAATAATGGTGCTTAAAAATAGTCATAAAATTAGTACAAATGGAGGTGGATGCATTCTGTTCTCCATTACAGCAGTGCACATCTGGAGTGACCCTGCTGTCTGTGATGGAAATACACCAGGGCAAGTCATACACGCCCTTCCACCACATCTAAGCCAGCAATGAGGGAAACTCAGCAGCTGTGTGTTTTGGTTAAGGAAAATTGGAAATAAATTCATTATATCTAATGCAATAAAATAATTATGCTTTCTCCATAGAATCGCTAGTAGAGAGTATAATAGTGCTGCAAGCACATCAGGAAAAAGAGTCTCAACTGCCAGCCAGACCAATCCCTTCCCTAAAATCCATCAGGACAGAATTCCTACGGCATGTCAGCTTTGTCCCATACGCGTTCAATCCGGTCCCAAGAAACCTGCAGCTCCGGAGCCATTTCAAGTAAGAATCTTAAGCAGTAACTCACTTGCAAAGTACAAATCTAATGATGGGTTCATAGCATGAACTGGGGAATGGCAGGGGTACTCTGATCTGTGGTGCTAGATAGAGAGCATGAGAGTTGCTGTTAGTAATATTTTGCTCCTTATACAGCAGAAACGTGATGCCAAAACTAAACACAAGCAAATTCCTTTTAAGTATTCTGGTAGTGTGCAACAGGTATTTCCTGGCCAAAGATTTGTTACCTTTGGATATGCCCTCAAAAGGGAATTTAAACCACTCTGTGCCAAATTCACAGTCTTTAATCCAAATAACTCTACTTAGAATTTGTTGCAGAATTTGTACCTTTGGGTCTGAAGCAAAGCCTACTGAAGTCCATGAAAACATTCCCATTGATGACTGTGGGCTTCAGGTCAACTCCTATGTATGTACATATTGCTTCCTTCTTCCTCCATTTGCGGAGGTCCTGGGCGATAGTCTTCCATGAATTGATGTTGGTGTTGCATTTGTTCAAGTTGGAGCTTTCTCTGCCCTCCTCTTAAGCATACACCTTAACTGAGTTGGGAGAATAAAACTTGCTTCAGGAGTCTGGAGCCTGTCATACAGATGATGTGGCCGGCCCAGCGAAGTTGATGTTGGCTGATCATTGCCCTCAATGCTTGTAGTGGTTGCTTGCAAGAGGGCACTGATGTTAGTGTGTCTGTCTTTCCACTGGCCTTGAAGGATTTGCCATAGGCAGCACTGATGGTACTTCTCCAGCAACTTGAGTGTCTCCTGTATGTCGTCCATGTCTCAGCTCCATACAATAAGGTGGGGATCACAACTGCTGGATAAACCATGAGCCTGGTTTTGGATCTGATATTGCAATCTTCAAGCACCATTTCCTCAGGCATCTGAAGGCTGCTTTGCTCATTTGAGATGATCCTGGATTTCTTCCATGTCAGCCTTCTGCAAGAGATGGCTTCCAAGGTATGGGAAATACTCAATGTTCTCCAGAGTCACACCGTGACTCTGAATTACTGGAATCAGGGACTGCTCATTAAGAGCTTGTTGATGGAGGACCCCAGTTTTCGGAATGTTAGGCATCAATCCCATTGTCTTATATGCCTCAGGAAAGACATCAGTTGCCTGAAGGTCTGCTTCCGAGTAAGCATAGCATCATCAATGTACTGGAGCTCGATGACTGAGATCAGGGTGGTCTTGGTTTTGGCTCAGAGTTGGCAGAAATTAAACAATTTACCATTCATTTGGTAGTTTAGCTTCACTCTGACTGGAAGCTTGTTGGTGGTCAGATGTAGCATCATGGTGAGGAATACTGAGAAGAGTCCTGGAGCAATGATGCAGCCTTGCTTAACTCCCATCTTAACCTCAAAGGGATCTGTGATAGATCTGTTACTGAGAACCACCACTTTCATACCGTCATGGAGCACTGCCCCAAATGGAGGAAGAGGCTGCTGTAAGGATCTCAGCACTTTGAAACCTTACGGCAACAACAAGAGACTGAAATGTGGGAGGGGCAGAAACGGTGTGTCCAAGTGAATCAAGAATTCGGAGCCACCAGATTCACATGCCTGAGTTACAACATAGTGTCACTCCCGAATCAGCCTCGTCAGCCACGTTCAGACCCACAGATAAGACAATCATGGAAGACATGCCAATGAGGAAGAGGAAAAGAGAGGACATTGCTACATTACCAAAAGAAGTCCTGGTGTATGGATGTTCTGAGCCCTTAAGCTAGGATACCATGTCTTCGACCCATCCGAAAGCCTGGCTTGCAGTTGGATTAAAACCTAGTAAAAAGAAGTAGGCACTAAAACATGGAGGAATTTATGTTTTAGAGGAGATTTCTGGGTAATCGTGTCCTGGGTCCTGCTATTATAGGCAACCATGTCAAATAACCCTGTTTGTAAACTAACCAGACTGCGTGTTAAAAACAATTAGTCCCCACTACTCCAACTGGACTGCTATTTCATAACCTCCATTCCCCTGAGGCTTTGGAGGCTTTTCCTGATTTCCAGCCTAAATTTATTCACAGATGTATTTTTTTTACCTGAATAAATTGTCCTTTTTCCCATCAAAAACCACCACATGGTTCAGCACAAGATGTGAAAAATGACCTCACTCTGATCAGGAAATGACCTTGAGGTCGGATTGGCAACAGGCTATTGTGTTCATTTCCCTTCAGACCAGCCCTTCAGTCTGGATTGGAAAAACATGCTCCGGTAACGTATCTCACTGAGTCTCTTCCCCCAGATGCCAGGGGTGGCTTGCATACATTTCAGGTCAGTGGAACTCAAAGTACAAATCCCAACATCCCAGCGACAGTGCAGCCAAAGGGCGTGAAACTATTCAAAAGGAACAAACCACTTACATATTCTGAATATAAGTGTAACCCCTCATGTGGAGTTGAGTAACAAGCATTCCCCATACAAACCAGACAAAGCTACTAAAAGGGAAAAACAAGCTGTTCTCCCTGACCAAGGTAAGGATGTTGAGGGAACTAGGAGGAGAGGCAGGGGCTGAAGTGCACAATTTGCAGTGACAGGCTTCCAAAGCTACTTGTAGGTGAGGTCTATGAAAAGGCAAAAAACACAAAGCTTTGGAGATCATTCCTATTGCTTCAGACATTGCCTGTTCTAGAATCTGCATTGGCTATTGGTGGCTATTGATTCATTGTGTTTTTTTGGATCAGGATCAAGAACAATATCTCAGCAAACAGCACCACAATCTCCCAAATCTGGAATGGAAGCAACAGCTACACCTTCAGGTAACCTCAGGAGGCTCCTTCAAGTCTTAACGTTAGCAATGGGTCAAATCTGGAAACTGTTCCTTATGTTTCTATCCAACATTAGCTTCAGGGTGAGCTCTCCCAAAGTATAACACTGAGTAAAGGCTTTAGGACTTGGCCCCAGGGAAATGGACTGGGGAAGCGAAGAGAGGAACAGTGGGGTCTTTGCTTTGCCATCACAGGCTCCTCAAAGTGCTGAAAGCATGCTACTTTTTAATGCTATATGTAACAGGGTCCATCAGCGATACTATGTTAAAGTAAACTCCTTTAATATGGCCAAATCCTGGTCTCCTTACTTGGAGTTTTTATTCTGTTCTTACTCAGGTAGGATTTGCAATGAAAAAGCATTAATGCAATAATACTCATCACTACTTTTTGTGACGTAGTCTGATACCTAAGATGAAGGCACATTACAAAAGGAAATTGTTTTTCAGGAAGTCCAGACAGATGGAACAGGTTCACGTGTAGATGCTTAGAGGCCATTTATGAGCCTTGCAGGTGGAATAGGACCAGGCTTTTGCTGTTTTGCCCCTTGTGAAGTCTCCATTTCTAGGGAAGTTTACTCTGAAAATGCTTGTCTCCACAGGGAACAATCCCATATTTGGGGATCTGTTATAAACTGACATCTGTTTAAAATACGTTGGACAAGTTGAATAGCACTACGATGACTTTGATCAGAACAGAGCTCATAATTTTCACTACAAAGAGATTCTACTAATTGTGTCGTGTGTCTTACAGCATGCACAGATGAGGATGAGTCACAGATGATGAAAAACCCATTTAAAATCCCTTCAAATACTGATATCTTCCTATTAAGAGACAAGGAAAGAGAAAAAGCTAAGAAGGTATGGATAAAAAAAGAAATGGAGGAATGCATATAAAAGCTAAAAAGGCTGTAATGCATTGCAAATAAGATGACTGCATGCATAAAGGCTGAATAAAAATTAAATTGCTGTATAAAGGAACATCATAGACCAGACTCTCCGCTGATGTAAAGCAATGTAGATTATCTGAAGCCAGCTGGAACCTAGTGAAGTTAATGGAGCTAGACTGACTCATATCAGCTGACAGTCTGGGTGGACATTTAATGGCTATTCTTACACATATTGTTTTGGATGGCTTCTTTCTTTTTCGAACAAGTAATGGCAGATGGACCATTCCTGTCCCTGTTAAATAAAGCAGCTGCCGTAGGCCCTTCTATTTCTCCAGCATTGATCCAGTTTCCCAGATCTCCCATTTTGAAGTTAACCAGGCACACCCCTTTCCTTGGACAGCCTGCATGTTAGTGTTCAGTGCTAGCGTCTGAACCCTCAGCTAAACAGATGCTTTGGATGGAAGGATAAATGAATTCAGGGCCCAAGGTCCCTGGAAGGGGAAAACACACCCTCCCCAAATGGAGCTGGTGGTGGGAGTGCACCCAGTACCATGCTTTTTGACTCCTCACTATCTTGGAGGGCTTTTCTTATGGTTGCTACAGGGTGAGGAGACTGAGTGAAGTTTCTGACAGCCCAGCTATAGCAGGACTGTTCCCTAAGGGACTGCTGACACAAGGCAATACGGTGGAAGCCATGAGCTTCTGCCTGTAGGTCCCTTGAATTTTGGTTGGTCCTAGAGATTAACTTCTTTTGGATGGAAGGACAAATGTTATCCCAGTAATGGACAAATGAACAGGAGATTCTCCAAGTCCCCATTCTCCCACTCAGGAACAACCCACAAATGGAAACACGGGCACTGACCATGTTTAGACTGGTTAAAATACAGCACGAGGGAGGATCTACAGTAAGACTCTGTAAGCTGAGGGCTGGAAATGCCAAGAAAAGAGATGAAGTGTTTTGGCTGCTCCCAGTATCCCTAGTTTTTATGGGAAGAAACTGAGATAATACACTTCAGCTGAACAGGGCAGAAAAACAACCTAATGGTGAGATTTGCTACAGGGTGAAAATCTTGAGTTATTGAAATCTATTCTGGACAAAGTACTTGACAAGTATAAGGTGACCACTTAATTGAAGTCTCGCCATAGGAACGTCAGCGAAAAAAGACCATGAAAATCCATGAGAAGATGACCTACTCCAGTATGATGAATGTAAAGCAATCAGAGTTCAAGAAACAGCTTCAGAAGGAAGAGGAGGAAGAGGACAGAGAACTGGCAGCAGAAACAGAGCGAATGAGAGCCCTCCAAGAAAGTCTCTCATGGAAGATAGCAGTGACCAAAGGTAGGAAATGCACATGATGGACTAAAACAAAGCCACATAGGGAGAATGAGAGCTGCAAGGTTTCTTGTTTCTTGACCTCAGCACTGCTGCCAGGGGAGCAAGTCATCACAGGCTTTGACTTAGGGATCCTCAAGACTCTGGGGTGTGGAAATCTTTCTGCTGAGTTGTGATCTAGCAAAGTTGCACTTTGCTGGACTTAAGGGCAAATTGTAATACTGATCTTGTGAAAGGTAAGAGGAGATTTACCAGTGACTGACATAGGACCAGGATTTGGCTCTTCTGGAAGGGGGTGATTTTCCACTCTCTTATCAGTTTGATCCTGACACTGATGTAACTCCATTCTAGTCAGTATAAAGCTGACTTATCTGGAGAATGAGGCCCAAGAACTACACCTCTGCCTTCCTTGTCGCTTCATATACACCCCAAGCCTCAACCTCTGGTTTTATGTGCTTTGTCTCCTTTTTTCTAAGCTTTGATGCTTAAATGCAGTGTTGAACACAGACCTCAATAACAAAAACCAAATGCCACAAAGGCTAAGAGCTCTGCTCTTTAAAGCAAGTATCTGGATCTCTCAGCTTCAAAAAATTATCCTGGTTTTTCTGTCAGCTAAAAACACTCTGACCCCATTCAAGTGCTGAAAGGCTCCCACATCTTTGCTGGTCCTCTAGTCAAAGTCAAGGTCATTCAGCTCACTTTCTGCTACCCATCTCCTACCTGGTTTTCCTCTCCAGCAGACAAAGATCCCAAGCTTGATATGACCTTGTCCAAAAGATACTGTATAATCAGGACTTCTCATTCAGGTCTCAAGCACAGACATCTGCCCCATCAGAATGAGCCCCCATTATGAAATACAGGTTTGCATTTACCCTCTGTTTGATTGCTGTGTTTTTTTGCCTTGACTCCATGGTCCCCCTCCCACACCCACAACTTTTCTTCCATCATTTCAGACCAGCAGGTGGAAAAAGAGAGCCTGCATGAATATATAAACAAGAAAAGGGAGATGTTTCGTATGCAGGTACTTGCCTCTAGTTTATAAATAAGATTTAATTGAAGCAACTATGCTGTGACCTCTTCTCTTGCATGTTTTTATTTTAAATACGGCATTGCATAGTGCTTAGAAGAGGGAACCGGGGAGCTGGTCTCAGTGATTATGTTGGTTTTGTGGCTGATGCACTGTAGTGGGACTCAGCCCAAGACTTGCTGCATAGTCTTGCATAATTCACTTAATCTCTCATTGCTCCTCACCTGGAAAACAAAGTGCAGGGTGGCTGGGAGGATCAAATAATTAATGTTTGTAAGAGACTCAGCTACTCAGACAGCACACCTAGACAGATAGGACCTGATAGCTCATTGCTACTCCAGTGTCACATCACTGTAATTCAGCTAAAGCCAAGCATGCTATCTAGTGGTTCAGGAAGGGAGCTGGGTTTTAATTCCCCTGGGTTCTGTTTTTAGTTTTCCTGTTAATTTGCTGTGTGACGCATTAAACACCTCCATGCCTCAGTCCACCCACTGCAAGTGAGTGTCTGGAGGCAAAAAGCTCTTTGAATTCCTCAACAAAAGCTGCTATCAAAGTGCGGTTATTTCTGTGTTTGATGTCATAATGGCAGCAGCAGCCAGAAAGGGACCAGCACTTTAAATAAACCAAGCTGAGTGGAGATTTGGAGTGAGTCACAAGGCTGCCTTTTTGGGTTGATTTCAGTACGCCATCGCAATAAAGAGAGATGAGATTCAGAAGCTGGAAAACCTAGCAGCTGAAGAGGAAGCAAAGCTGGAAAAGGCTGAACAGTACCTGGAGAAGGACGCCGCCATGTTTGATGATTTCCTGAAGGAGAATGATAAAAACTCCGCTCAGGCCCTGAAAATGTAACGCAAGTAGTGGGATAGCCCCTGTGGTCTCTGGTAACCATGTCTGGACATGGAGTGGTCTCACAGGGAAGACTCCTGCCATACCAGTGTCCCCACTACCATCTGTGGGAGCTCGATATATAGAGAGACTGCAGAGTCAAGCCCCCATTTATGGGTACCACTGTTTCAGTTCCAGTCCTAGGTGTTACACACAGGTCCTCCAAATTCAGACATCACACAGTAGATTGCTAAAATACTCCTTGCAGCATTCTGCCCATTACGTGCAATAAACTAAAGCTGTGGAAAGGAGGTACAAATGACATCAGCTGCTCCAACCCACTTTGGAGTCCAATGGGGAGATTTAACACTCAGTGAAGGTGGTGCTTCTACTGATTCCCAGCTTGAGTTTTCCAGACAGAGTAGTCACCTGTGGTCACCTTCTTCCCAGCCAGCAGCAGCAACTGCCCTTTGTCACTGAGCTGGCCCTTACCTCCACCCATTGCAAAAATGGTAGAGCAACCTCAGCCAAATTCCCAAGCAGATGTTCTTCACCCATGGACCTCTAACTAGGTTCACACTGGCTCAACACAGTACAGACTCTTAGGACCAGATCCTCTTCCACCTATTACATAACTATTACGTACCTCAGTAATACTTCAGCACCCAAGTGTGATCCTATTCCACTGAAAAAACATGAACGTGTCTACACTAAGTCTGTGAGAAATACTGTGTTCTAAGTCACCTGTCCCAGACCATGGTAAAGAAACATTTCTGTAGGAAATGGGTTGGAGGAGGGACTTCTGCTTCTCTATCATCCCTTATAATACCACACTCAAAAAAGTCATTTGGGACCTGAAATTCTTTCCGTCTATCCCATAAAGGTGAATGGTGTGGGGGGAAATATTGTTACCGTTCATTGACTGGAGCACTTAGCTAAGTTTGAGGTATTGCAGGGGATTTCCATAGGGCGTTGCTTTGATGCAGTCTTGTTTATAAAGAGCATACAAAGTCCTGTTTCTCTGAGCACAGCATCAACCGAACCACGTGTTTGTCCACCGTTCCAAGCCCCTTTCAGCCAGCACTCTGCCCAAAAATCTTTCGTTCTTTCTCCAAGATCTCCCCAAGACCACATGCTCAGTGCTTGTTCAATTAGTGTCTGTTGCTCCCTTGTTTCCTTCTTCCCTTGTTCCTTTGGTCCATTCTTCTACAAACTTCCACAAAATGATAGGCAGCAAAACACCCCCTGTATAACCATATGAGGCTTTGTTTTGGATGGTGGCATATGCCTGCGATTAGAGTGGGGGCTGCTGTTAATTTAGCTACCTAGTTCTATAAAGAAGCTTAACCTTTATTAATTAAAGGCAGCAGCTATGTCCAAATCATAACAGTGTGAACAGTGCCCTGGGTGAAAATAGAAACTATTTCAATCCAGTAGACAAGAAGTATCATAGAAGTGTAGAGAAGCTGAGAATGGAGCAAGCCACTGCAATCAGACTCTGCTCTAATTGTGACAACATTATTGGACACTGTGAAAGATAAATGGAGGGCTTCAGTCCTCCTGGCCATCAGGATGAACTTTGTATGGTGTATTTTCAAATATAAAGATTTCCTCATGCCCCTTTTATTTCCCCCCATTCACTACCCTTCTCCCCATGCCCCTCTAGATCTCCTGTGCTCTGCATATTTGCACGCTATTCCTGAAGTTATTTTTGTGTATTCTTCATCCCTAGTGCTGAGAGAGAAACCAAAGCAAAGATGGATAAAATAATAGAGATCCGTGAGCTTACGGCACAAATGATGAACATCCAAAGGTAACAACCCAGGGGAATTTAGTGGGCATGTTTAACAAACCTTGTGGAACTCCATTCTGTGATATTGTCGGTGTCATCTGGAACTAAGTGCCGCAAGAGACCAGTTACATAATGGAGCAATGCAAATAAATTCATGTTGCAGCAACCTTTGATTGTGATGCAATCTCATCACAGTTGGATAATGCTGTCCTGACTACACTATGTTCCTGTCCACTAAAAAAATAGTTGGGGCTTGAATGTTCTCCTCAATGACTGCAGTGCTTGCCCAATCCTTGTGCTCAGCCAGGCCCTTCCAATGATCCTAAAAAGAGTTACCAGACAGTGGGCCAATAATCAGTCTTGGTGTAAACTGGCACAATCAGCCCTCACTGATGTGCTGGCTGATGGCAGTGTTGAAATGAGTTGGGCACACTTTATAAATAGTGAATTTGTCAGACAATGCAAGTACAGAGGGCAGCCAGAAATTTGGGTTGAATTTGACAGGAAAAAAAATAGAATGGGGAAAAATGTCAAACACATTGAAATGTTTCATTTCAGGAAATAAATGTTTCTAAGGAAAAAGCTTCAACTTTTTTCTTTTGAAATGGTCTTTTCATTTCCTAATCAACCTAAACGTCAGCAATAAAGTTAAGTGTCTGTAGTGGGTTATGGAATAGAGAAAATCCTACACAATTTACTGATTCGTTTTGATGCACTGGCTGGGGGAGTAGTTAGCTGACTGCACGATTTCACAATGATTACACACTTAATTTATACAACACAATTTTATTTTAAAACTCTTTCCTACGTATATAACACTGCTTAGCTTAGAAATACCACAAACATTAAGAACACAATAATTACATATACCAGAAACAATGCTCCGAATGCACTTCCTTCCCAAACAATGCTATAAGAATTAGTATTACAAAAACAACTACAATTACAACTAAAAGTTAAACTTGAATCAATACTATTATTTTCATAATATACTTACAATCCTGGAATTCCAAGAAGCCAAATACCAAAACATGGTTTCATTCCTCATTAGTACAATTTAATGGGTTGGCCTCAGTAGTACGGTTCAATGGGCTCGCCTCAGCAATACAATTCAATGGGCTGGCCTCAATACTGATAGGACTAAGTCCCCTTCTTTCAGTCCCTTTTGGGCGCTCTGCAGCTTCAGCGTGAACTAAGAGATTCGTGTTCACGGAGAGGTTGGTTCAGGTGATCAGTCTGATCCGGCCTACACTTGCGATTCTTCCTTCGTTGTTCTGCAAGTGAAGTCACCTCCAAATTGGGACGGTAAGTTACAGTTTTTATTGAGTGAGCTGCCGTCTTGGGCCACTCCTACTCAAGCCTGTCATTACCCCCAAATTTGGGCTCGGATCTTACTCAACAGATTCTTTTGCTTAGTAATTAGTTTCTTTTGTTAATCATTTTAAATTACTTTTGGGGAACTTCCATATCACTGCAAGTGCCCTTTTCTTACCAATCTGATCAAAAGGCTCTAGGGTTTGATCTCTCGGAACTCAGGATATTTGCTCTTTGTAAAAGACTTCTAAAGATAAAATTCAGAAGTTAAGACTTTAAACAAAGTCAGGACCTTTTGCACATAGTCCAAAACAATGAGCTAGATAAGGAGATAAATCTTATCTTCTTCCTGAAACTGGCTAATGGGCAACCATTACAAACATTCAAACTATTTTCATTCAATATGACATTAAGAAACTCAGCAGTGATGTGAAACTGTTTGTTTGAGATCAAATAAAATGGTTTGGGTTGACCCAAAAAGAAAATTTTCAGTTTGGTTATTGCACCAAGAAACCTAAAAGTTTCCATTTTGGGTAAACTTAAACTGATGGTTGGTTATGGCCAAACTGAAAACTCCATTCTTCCATATCACAGCAAAGCAAATGTATACCTCTATGCTGGGATGTGGCACACAGAAAGAAGGTTCAGGCTTTTTAATTTAATGAAAGCATGGTAATAAGGTAACTAGTGTATCTGTTTTATAAAACTCCCATAGTACCTTCAGCCACCTTAGATAAGGTTATAGATAAGATTTGGGATGGATGCTGGAGATTGGCTTTACTTAAAAGCCCTGGAGATAAGGTTCACACTGACAAATTACAATCTGAGGTAAATCTTCACTTCACTGGTGTATCAAAGTATTTGCATCCCAAAAGCTTGATGTTCAGCTGTGCAGTTTCATTAATGAAGCTCTGCATCACTGCTTGGAACACCTAGAGACATTTGCATCTTAATTCTTTTAAGTGCTTGAGTGCAAAGGCAGGCTCCCAAATAGGTACACAACTGGGCGGCTAATAGACTTGCCAAGTTACATCTATTCTGCATGCAAATTGGCCATCATCGTGTGCAAAGGATCAGGTGTGCATCTAAGATGTTGAACAGTTTTTCTGTGTAAGCACTGTAATAGGATGCACAAATCTGGAATGTATTCACATCTGGAAATTATGGCCTTGATCTCCAAAGTCTCTGGGGTTTTTTCCCCAGTAGCTGAGACTACTAGCTCGAGCTGAGCTTAGCTTAACTGTATTCTATCATCTCCACTGTAATTAAAGATGAAGCATTTCAGGATACCTGCACAGCACCTATACCTCTACTGGGTTTCTGTAGGTGCAGAGGTTAAATTGAAGCTGGGATAAGGAACCTGTCCTGCAGAACCAAGAGGGCTGAGGTAAAACCTAATGGTTGTCATTATACCTTGCAGCTCAGACTCTCCCTGCACTCAACAAGTGAGATCGTGCTATTTGGATAAAATTGCTTTTCAGAAAAGTTTATCAGCACAGTCAAACATACCTTCTGCAATCCATTTGCTGTCTCTCTCCTAGTGAAATATCCAGGCTTGAAGACACTCTGCAGGAGTACATGATGTACAGAGATTTCCTCTACCAGCTGTCTCCAAAAGAATGGCAGGAAGAATACGAAAAGAAGCAGATGAAGAAGAGGGAGATGAAAATGGCCTCTAGGGCAAAAGAAGAAAACACTTCCACTTTGCCCCCTGTGCCCAAAGGTATGTGCCTCCAGGAAAAGAATCGGACTGATCCTTACTGTACACAGTTCTCCGCTTCTGAGTATATGTCCCTCTTGTGTTTAGGCCGGGAGCTGACATCACAGTCCAAACAAGGCAGGTTTCCTACCACCGGCTCTGCAGAACGTCTGAGTGTTGATCTCTCTGCAGAGGAGCTTGAACTCAGGCCTCTAAGCCAGAGCCAGAGGAAGGAATCCATCAAGCAAGGCAAAATGCCCTCAAAGCAGCACCCCAAGCCTCTGTCAGCAAGACGGGTGTAAGTATGAGACACGCAGCAAAGGCAATGATCGTAAATCCAGTTGAGATCTAAATAGGATGAGAGCAGACAGCAAGACAGTGCTTATCCTTTGCCTGCTGTGCTTCTTGAAAAAGTGGTCTGGATTCAATCATCTGGAAATGTCAGTACAGCAAATCAAAATGCAAGGGGCTGGACCTTCAGTTGCTGTAGGTCCACTGAGTTCAGTGGAGCTATCCCCTTATGTATCATCTGAGGGATCTACCCAGAGCAGTAGTGCCCAACCTTTTTGACCCCACAGGCAAGATGAGTGGTGTGGGGTCCATCCATGGGCTGGATCCCATGCCGGGCCTGATCTGGCCATGTGCTGTCCTGATCTAGCCATGCCCCCACCTGATCCTGCACACCAGGATCCGTACACGTGCTGCTGCAGTCTGGCACAAGGGCCACATTATCCGGTTGGCAGGACTCCCCTCAGGCCCAGAAATTTGGCAGAAGGGGAGCAGTAATTAAGGCTGCTGCCACTCCCCCACTGTCAAATTTCTGGACCCTTGGGGAGCCCTGTGGGATGGATGACATGGCTCTGTGGGCCAAGTTTGGCTTGTGTGGCTTGAGCAAACCTTAGAGAGCCTTCGCTCAAAGATCCTCTGCAATGCCACACCCTCCCTTCTGCCAGCCCCTCTGCCAGATGGCACAATACCAGGCAGAAGATGAATGTAGATGCTCCAGTGCTGCCTTCTGGCTTCAACCAAAAGATGCAGCCCCATGGAGCTACCAGAAGGACATGGAGTAGAAGTGCTGCACTCTGGCAAGTTGGGCTGTAGCTGCTGTCTGCTGCTACAAGAGGCTCTGGCAAGGAGGTACAGTGACCCCGGACCTTAACACCACAACAAAACTTCCCTTTGGGTAGAAGTGTTGCTCTCAACTGAATTGCTGTTGCAGTCATTCACATCCTGTCTGGAAAGAAGCCCGGTGACTGTGGGACTGTCTTCCAGTCCCTCACCCACTCGTGTCTCTGGGCAGAGTTGCACTGGGCAGCATGCACTGACTCCTTGGACTTTTCAAGGATCGGTGGGTGCTGGCCGCTGTACTCTGCTTGGTGTACCCCCTCATAGCACTCGTTAACCTTTGACTTGTACTCCTAACCCTCTTTTCACATTTGTTGTCCCTGGAACCAGTTGCTGTGTTTCCAGTGGCCTCCCTAATTAAGGGAGGCTTGTAGTTTTCTTGCTGGCCTCAGGCCCACCATACCTTGGCACAACAATAGGCCAGTATGGAAAGAAGTTTCACTAGGTCTGAATTCACTGCAATAGCATCCTCTCTATTCACTTTTACCAGGCATTAGACTCAATTAATTAAGGTTGTAGTCAACCTATACTGGGATCAGGCAGAAGAACATTCCCTGTAACAGGTGCTTGCTAAGGACTGCCCTTGTAATCACAGTAACTTAGTAGCAGTGGCAAGTGGGAGAAGAAGACAAGGTTGACTCTCTAAAAAGGCGACTGGTGAGGGTTTGTAGGTCTCTTCATACAGGAAAACCACGGCTTTAGCGCCCCACTAATAACAGATTGCTAGCTGAATTTTTTCTGTGAGGGGCTGTTGCTTTTCATCGGGATTACTTCCAAGTAGGAACAAGGGAGCCTGTTCCAATACTGCTTGCTGGTGGCTACAGGATCACAACCAAAGTTCTCTCATTAGCCAAGCTTTCAAGTCACTCCATTTATCCCCTGGCCTCAGGATATGGGGATTAAAGATACACACACAATAGCCTCAGTTGCGTGGGGACCCCACTGTTTAGGAGAGGAGCTCTGAGCCTTTGGGAAGCTAACGCACAGGGCTGCTGCATACCACACGTTCGACCAGTGGTTTTTCACATGAACCAGTACGGGCCATTACATAGGACATGGCTTATCCAGCAAATTCAGACCCAGACGCCCTTCAAGTTCAGGGCTGTACAGACCTGTGCTTTTGGTTCTGGCTTGCATCTGCTATTGCAACACTCATGGAAAGGCCTTGCAACAATCAAATAGACCCCAGACTATTTAGACTGTAACTACTTTGGGCGGGGGCCATGTCTGTATACAGCCTATTACAACACAATCCTATCTGTAAGCAGGATTGCCAGAGGGGCTATTGCCATATGAATATTTAACAGAAGACCCCCAACCCTTTTAACATTTAAAGCACTATTTAGAAGCAAATATGGGTAGGTATTATACCCTAGACATGGAAATAGCCTGCTATTTACAGCTAAAAACCAGAGGTTGTTTGCAGTTGTTATCAACTTAAGTAGCAGCTATAGTCATAATACACTTGCTGACAAGATCTCGTTTTACAGAGTTTGAGAAATCCTTTCTCTAAGTGCCTGACACCAGAAATCTGTTCACAGGAGTGAGACAGCTTCACTAAAGATGGAGAAAGCAGATCCAGTCTGCTCTGATGATGAGGATGAAGATGAGGTCAGTAGCCTTGTACTGAATGACTCGGCTATAAGATTTGTCTTCCCATCCTTTCCTTCACTTGGTATTCAGGTTTCCTTTGCCTTCTTGCTATTGCTCATTCAATCATAGTGCTATTGTATCTAAAGATTTCCTTGTAAGCTCAAGCCTGTTCCCTTATCAGATGTCTAGATTCCTTAGCAATGAACATCATTTAAATCCCAGGACACAGAGAATACTTTATTTCCTCTGTTGGGGGGGAAGGGGTGGGGGCACAAGTTTGTTAAGTGATATATTTTGTCTGACACTGAAGTTTTGTAAAAGACTATAAATTCAGGTAGCATCCGCTCCATTTAATTTCCCCAAAAAATGAATCACCTCTTCCCCACACCATTTATGTTGTGAACCAAGGAAAATACCACGAGGGCAAGCTCTTGGAAAACAAAAAAGCTAAACTAATGACAACACCGAGTGAAATGGAGAAAAGAAAATACTGAGCATAAATAATGCAAGTGAACTTCTAAAAATCCCTATCATTGTTAAAATAAAGGATTTTGAGGGAGCTCTTTCTTCCAAAAGCAGTCTATTTAAGGCCAGAAATATCCGAACCAGCATCAGCTGCAATTATGCATGCAAACTTGAGTGCTGTACAAATGACCTTCCAGGCACCTCCATGACTATTTATGCCAGTTTAAAACCAGCTGCTACCAATACTCTTTTACTTTTTTGACCTCTCTGTGCATACTGACATCTGGAGAGGTAGTTAAGAGGGGGGAAGGAGTCCTCCCGCTGAGAGAGGATGGCATTATGGGTTCTTACCGGGTTCTGTGTAAGACTACGCTCGGCTCATATCCATCTCGTCCAGGTTCTTCTTTTTGCCTCTCTCCAGGTACTCGGATGCTTTGGTGAGTTAACAGTTTTAGCCAGTTGATCACCTGGCCAAAGCAGAAAGTCCTCCCTGTAGGGTGCAAAACAAGACCAGTAAAACTGGAAAGATCCAGAATTTTCCATCCAGGCTCTTTACTGGGATGCAGCCCTCCCCAAGGACCTGGCCATCTTCTGTTTCTTCTCCTTCCCCCATTCGCAGGGGTTTCCAACCCACTCTCCAGTCACACCGTGATGGAGTCCAGGACTTCTCCACGCTGTAGGGTCCACCTGGGATCTCAGGTTACGGACAACCCTCAGCCCTGCTTCTCTTCTCAGCCATTTTCTACTGGACTCAGCAAAGAGCTCAGGTCTCCGGGCCTTGATCCTGCCTCTTCCCAGGACCAAACTGCTGCTCTTTTCCCAACCAATGTGCTTGGGCTCCTGTGAATAAAACTAGCTCAGGTTTTGCCTCCGACCTGGCTCGTCTCCCACTAAAAAGTTTTCTACAGAGAAATTGGTAGCATCCGAGTTACCCCCCTGTATGGATACCTCTTTGCTCTAATATTGCTTACTCCCATTTAAGTGTGTTCCCAGGCAACTGAACTGGGAATTGGAACCAAATAAAACCCTTTGGCATTACTTCAATTACATTTAATTAAAAGGAAATCACTTATCTAGTTAAACCAGGATAGATAGGCCATGAGAAATGGCTCTTTATGGCAGGCTTTACTTCGTGATAGACTCGCCGCCTCGTCTCGGTCATGTGGTTCAACTGAGGCTACATATCCCAGAATCCTTCAAATTACAAGGAGATGAGCCCTAACTGGGCTGCTTGGATCCTCTTAACGGAGCAGACTGCCCTGTTACAGGGGAAAAGGGAAGAAAAAAGTGCTAGAAACAGCCTAGCCCATAGGTGCTTGGAGACCAAGTCTTGTCACATCCCTTCTGAAGTGCCCACAACCCCCTCCGCTCCCACTGGCCCAAAGCGCTGCATGTCTGACTTGGGGCTAGGAAGGAGAGGGCCTTGATTCCTGGGGAAGAGGGAACGAGCCTGGGAAGAAGTCTTGTCGGCTAAGCAAACTCCCACGCTGTTCCTCCCCTGAACCACTGCCCACATCTTGCTTTCTTTTATTTATCATGTAAGCTCTTTGGGGCAGACAACATGTCTGAATCGCTCTGTGTACATGCTATGTAATTTACTATGCTGGGTAATAAGTGTGCATAGAAGATGCAGTCTTTAGCCCAACTGCTGCATCCAGGTTGTTAATTGCTAGAAAGCTAGATACACTAAAGGAGCCAATATTCTTTATTTACCACCCCAGGCACCAGAGCTGTATTTTACAGATCCAAAGCAGCTGCTGAACATCTTCACCGAGCTGGAAGAGCAGAACCTGTCCCTCATCCAGAATTCCCGGGAGACCGAGGAAACTCTAGATGAACTGAAGCATGCTCTCACCACGACACAAAATAAAATGTAAGTAGATAAAGGATTCTGCATGCATTTCTGCTTTGGACTCTCCCCTGAACACACAGATCATAGTGCTCAAGATCATAGATGACCACTAGATGGTCCATGCAGAGCAGAATTAAGGAAGAGTCTCTTGCTTATTGTGCATTGCTCAGATGAACTGTGTTCACCATGCCACTTTTGAGCTAGTGGGTTTGGAGGGGGCGTGTTGTGGGGAGTGGTCTGTCAATGAGCAGGAAGTCTGGCTTCAGGTTTGAGTTGGGCTCTTGATTCTCAAGCTACTGTTGAATGGAGAGCTGGGGTCTTGGGTGGAGAAGGTGAACAAGTCAACTTTGTTTCACTCTAGAAACAACACCTGATGATCAGTCAAATAAAGCACAAAGGTATCTGCCCAATGATCTGGGCTGGAATAAACCCCAACATTGACTGTCATTTAAATTAGAATCCTCTGCAGGGGAAATCACCAAAAAATCCACTTACAATTGGATCAAAGCCTTGCCATGGCAGGAGGCCATGTGACTTAGGTGCATTTTTAGCTTGTTGTAAATACATGTAAATAGGAATCTACATTCTGTCTTAATTTATTGGTGTTCAGAAGGTTTCAGACATTTAATAAAAACCCTCTGCAGTAAATGCCAATCCAGAAAGCCAGAATCTTCTTCTAGCTCTTGGAGATTAGAACTAATCTGAGCACAACCTGCAAACCAGAAGGGAGTGATGCCATGAAGGCATGAGGCTCCATCTTCCGGTAGGAGGGGGTATAGCCGTCACCTCCACCAACCCTGGAGGAAAGCTGTGTCCAAGTTGCACCCTTCTGAGACCTGGCTCCTTTCCTTCTGGACTAGGGGCCGAGAGATAGCTCAGCTAGAGCAGCTTGAAGTTACCCTGAAAGCCTCCATTGCCAAAGAAGAGGAAACAGCAAAAGACCTGGCAATCAAGGCTCAAGTCTTTTCCTTTGGAGAGTTCAAATCAGAGTTTCAGGTATGTGTGGAGATCAAGATCTGAGCCTATAAGAGACTGGTGAGAAAAGTCTCACCTTGCTGTTTCCCATGACAAAGCTGGCCTATGTAATACATTTCCTGAGGTGAGAGGTTAGCACCCTTCCTTACATGCACATTTTGGACCTAGAAGTTCAAAGTATGAACACCCGAGACAAGGAATTGAGGTTTACTAATGGAATTAAAATTATTTAGCTGACTATACTAGGGAGGTCCTTAGCTGGTATACCCATCCCAACTCCAATGGAGGGGGCTGGGTTGGTGTGGGTGCTTCGACACAGTTGACATCCCAGAGGTTGCACATTTCAGACCATAACAGAAGTGCTCACAGCACAGCCCTGTCAGATTCCAGTGAACCTCTAGATTCTGCTAAATACCTTGTCACAAGGACATGAAAAGGAAGGAAGGAACTTCAATGGAGCTGAAAGAGTTTACACCAGCCAAAGCCTTTCCCCCTGATCTTTTCTGTATAGGAAAAAATGTTGGCAAGTCTGAGCAAAAAAGTGCTGGAAGTCTATCGACGTTGTATTGGAGAAAATGACGCCAATCTGGGAACCCTGCAGATGCTAACAGTCATAGAGCACCAACTGGATGACCTACTGGAGTGTCTGGAGAGAGTCCCACAAGCAAAGATAGAACAGGCTGAGAAAACCAAAGAAAAGGAGCGGAGAATGAGGTAAGAGGAAATGCTACCCCAAAACTGGCATTGCTTCTGTCTGGGCACCATCACTTTGCCGTTCTAGTTTAGTTTGAACAGCATCTTTGAAACTCCAAAGGTAAAAATAAGTCAGGGAAACTGCTCTCACATGTCAAAGCAGACTGAGGGTGCACAACAAAAAGTCCATATATTACTAATAAATTATTGGTAGCACTGAAGTGATGTAGCTGTGAGGCAAGGATTTTTTTGAAACATCTTTTATTGGACTAATTGCATGGTTGGGGTAAAATTGGACCAGCTTTCAAATGCAATTCCTTGTCCAACTTTATTCCAACCATGTAGTTGGTCCAAGTAAAAGATATCACCCAAAAAATCCTTGTGTCTCAGTAAGTGATGATGAGCTGAGCTACACTTCTAAGAGAGAAAACTATAAACAAAGATAGCAGTAGCTAACTTAAAAGCTGATCAAACCGAAAATAATTATTCTGCTGTTTCACCCCTATTTCCATCTTGGTAAGATAAAGGAACGTTTGCTGTACAAGGACTTCTCTGTACTATAGTGGTTGCAGCACTGGCAAACTGAAATATTTTTGCTTTGACAAAGCCACATACCTAGCTCCATTTCCTACACAGCACATGTGCATGTACACAAATGCACGCTCATAAGATGAGGTGTGCTCTCATTGACTTCATAGACTTGTAGGGTCAGAAGGGACCTATTAGATCATAGAGTCCAACCCCCTGCCCTGGGCAGGAAAGAGCGCTGGGGTCAAGTAACCCCAGCCTGGTGCTTGCTTATCTCCTTTTGAACACCTCCAAGGTAATCTGTTAAATGCCTCCAAGGTAGGGGAAAACACCACCTCCCTTGGAAGCCCATTTCATATTTTGGCAACCCTCACCGTAAAGAATTTCTTCCTGATGTCCAATCTAAATCTGCTCTCCTTCAGTTTATGGCTGTTGTTTCTAGCAACCCTGAGGGGCATTCTGGTAAACAGAGTATCCCCTATTCCCTGCTGACCCCCCTGATTAGTTTGTAGACAGCCATGAGATCACCTCTCAGCCTTCTCTTGCGGAGGCTGAAGAGATTCAGGTCCCTCAATCTGTCTTCATAGGATCTTACCTGCAGGCCCTCAACCATACACATAGCCCTCCTCTGAACCCTTTCCAGGTTATCCACATCCCTCTTGAAGTGTGGTGCCCAAAACTGGACCCAGTACTCCAGCCTCACCAATGCCGCATAGAAGGGAAGTATCACCTCCCTAGACCTGCTCGTAACGCACCTACTAATGCACCTTATTACCTTGTCACATTGGCGACTCGTTCATTTTTGTGTCGACCATGACTCCGAGATCCCTTTCCGCTGCTGTGCTACTTAGAATGGTACTTCCCAGTCTGTAGGTGTATTGGTGATTCCTTCTCCCCAGATGCAGCACTTTGCACTTATCTTTGTTAAATTGCATCCTATTCTGATCCACCCACTTCCCCAGTCTATCCAGATCCACCTGAATTCGCTTCCTACCCTCTAGTGTGTTTACTATACCCCATAGTTTGGTGAAATGCTGTAGGCCAATGACAATTCATAGTGCAAGCAGCACACTAGCAATCAGATCGTGGACTATATGAAGACACAGTTAGGGGAGTCAGTTCTATCACAAATACAATGGAAAGGGTGGAAAAGGTGTAATTTAAGCGTCATATTCCCTGTATCTGCTTCTCCTTTCTCACCTACTCAAAATTCAAAGGTTGCTGTGATGCCTCCACCTTCTTTTGCTATTTTGCAGGGCTGTCCAGGAAATCAGGGTTGCATTCTCCCAAATAGCCATCTACCCAACCCTGCTGAAAAGCAAAATGTCAGGGAACGAAGTTACCCAAAATGAAAAAAATTTAAAACTAGGTAGAATTTCAAGAAAATATCGAGAAACAAAAATGCATTGGCTTCCTTTCCACTGCAGTTGAGTATACAAGGAAGGAAGCCCACTTTGGTACATGAGGCAAAGCAGGCTGCTAAAGATTACCACTTGACATACTCAATGCTTTACTTCCATAGATCTTATTAGAAGCATTGTTCTATTGATTTGCACTTGTGTAGTCATTTACATCATAGGATATCAAAGCCAACTCTTCTATTTGGTAGCATTTTGCACTCACGATAAGAAAAAGCACCAGTTACAAGGTAAGCACTTAACATCCCACAAAGTATCATTAGCCCTATTTTAGGGTGCAAATGCCTTGCTGAAGATGCAACAAGTCAGTGACAGATCCAGAAACAGAACTGTGCTTACCTGCTAAGTCCACTTCTACACTTCTCCATTTAAGCATTCTTTGGGCAGGGGGGAATCAATTGCACTCAAGTGCATTCAGTTTACAGTTACAGAACTGCTCTCAGAGCTAAATGGAGCACTCCCTGCATTAGAAGTTGGGCTTGTGCCTTTGTCTTTCTTACTGGAAATCTGGATAAAAAAATTCAGTTCTGCCTATCATTAACTCATGTGTTTTGCTCAACTCTTCCAAAAGGCTCAGGGATGAAAAAATAAAACAACAGAGACAGCTGCAGGAGGAGAGGATACAGCGGGCACTGGCAAGAGCACAAGCTGATATAAAGAAAAAGGTAATCCAGTGACTCCTTTATACTGGAGTGGAATCCATAGGAAAAGAAGCTCCTTGGTTCACAAGCAATTCACAATTGCCCTTACGATACAGCTTTGGGCAAGCATCTCAGCTTATATAATGATTAGAGGGGCCTGGAATAGCAAAATAAAACCTCAGCTATCCTTCCAAGGGTACCTCAAGCCCTGGTACTGGTGCCAGAGAAGAACAGGCAGATCTATCACAATTTGCCTGGATTAAGTTTACACCTAGGGCTGTCCCAGACCTGAAAGCAGCTCAGGAGGGCCACCTTCACCCTGCTGCTGTTCCTGGGCTGCCCTGCTTCGACCTGCACCTCAGAACCATAGAACAGGATCTCTGCCTGCCACTGGAGTTCTACCTACTTGGTACCTCTGAAAAGTCATGTCATTATGAATACAACTGTATAACAGAAAGGCAAGACTGTACCCATTTTTTGAGCACGGTTAAACTGTGATAACTTGTTCAAGGTCATGTGCTTTAAAAAAAAATCACAGCAGAACGAGAATAAAGCAGATGCTTTGGATCCAATTATTCTTCAATTAGCGAAGAATAATCATTTTTCACTAACCGCTGAAGTGTTCTACATGCTTCACCAGCATTTCCTTTCACCATTTAAAGCAGGAAGGGATAGATAAGGTTTTGCATTAAAAATAGTCCAACTAAAACCTTATCCTGAAGTGCAGGAACTTTGTACAAGCCCAGAAAAACAGACAATGACAACACACCAGTACAGCCCTGAGCCAACCTAAGAGCAGTTTTCATTAGCAAAAATTGACATGAAGGCAATAGAGGGAGCAGTGGAAGTTGTTATTCAGAAAGCAGGGGGTGCTGTCCTTTCTTAAAAGGAAACCTTAAGTTGTTGCAGCAGAACACGTCTTTAAACAATTTGTACTTGTGCCCGAAGTATTTGCTTTCATAAGCTCTGGCATGCTTTTTGTTTCTTTGCAGACTGGCCGAAGACTGGTGTTTCGTTCTGAGCCTCCCCCCATCAAAGAAAAGGAAGATGAGAATCAAGGGCTAATTGATAAAGAGAAGGAAGAGGCTCTCTACTACTTCACTTAATTTCTCAAGTAAGATTAGGCCAAGTAGATGAGAACCAGTTGTGCCAAACAGAATGCTTTTTAGTTGTATTCCAGGGCAATCTCACGATAAAACTTGTGCTTTTCGAATTACATAGAAACTTTGCAATAAAAGATTCTTCATTTTTGCTAACCCCATCGCCCCAGATGAGTACTGTTTTCATTAAGCCCGTTCTTGAAGCCAAACAATGTTGCTTTAAGTAACTGTTTACCGAGGAAAATAAAACTAAAGCAACTCCAATTTTGCATCTGGACCTTCTGTCAGCAAAAAGATTTTTCATAAAAGTTACTCACGCCAGTAGCAAGATCCCTGGAAACTTGGGAAATAAGATTTATTATACAGTTGGATGATATCTTAGTTATAGCAAGACAAAGCTAGACTCCAGCCAGATGTTTGTTACAAACCTCATGCCTATGAGAAAGTATAAAAACAAAGGCGATACCCCCTCCCAGGAGGGGAAGTTTTGGGGCTGCATTAGGAGTTCCACCCCATTAGTACTGAGCCTTCTATAGTTGAGAGGGGACAAAGAACAAGCACTGCAGAGGGAGAGAGCTATCACGTATTTGTTTTGCATGAAAGCCTAACTGCAAGAGATGTAGTTGCTTATTATCAAGAACAAACCCAATGACAAGCTGACCATAAAAAAAGCTTTATTAATCCTTTTTTTTGCACCAGCAGTTCTTTAGGTGTCCATTGCCAGCAATGGACTTCAAGCCGATTGATCCAATTCTCAGCCCCAAGCAGTTAGCAATTTACATTCACTTACAAAGCCAAGTGAGGTACATCTTCAGAAGTAGAAACAGAGTCAGTTCTAAGTCCCATAAAAAGATGGAGTGGTTCCTCGGCCATTTTCTTAACTTAAGAAGAACTCGTATGGTCCACGAGAATGGAAGGATCAACAGGTGTTAGGTGAGTTCAAGCAACTCAGCTTCCAGGGACAACGTGGAGACTGTTCTAAACCAAGACCCAGTAACCTGTTCAGTGGTGCCGTGTTCCTGCAGCTGACTCATCATCCCCTTTGCCTCTGGACTCCATGATGAAAAAAAAAATACAGCAGTCAATGGATGGGTTAAGATTTCTGCAACAGCTCGCTGCCCTGGAAACCCCACCTGAGGGAAGTAAGAGGTCCCCCTGGGCATGAGCCGTGAATTCAAGAGAAATAGAAATAGGTAGAGCCAGTGGTCAAATAGTTAGGCTCAAGATAGAAAAATAAAACTGGTTCAACCAGAGGATAAAATACTGCCTAAAAATCAGTCTGAAGTGAGAGTAACCTGTATACTGCTTTCAAGTCTCAGAAACAAAACAAGTATTCATCTGGACACATACATAGTTCAAAAGGCACAGGAAGTAAAAGCATTTCTGAATGACCTTGGGTGAATTCAACAACTGTATAACTGTAAAATAAATAAATATGTGCAAGATTAGAAAGATCACGTTTTTCTGCATGACATATCTTACTCTGTAAAAAATATACACATGTGCACGCACGCACCTCATTGAAGAATTATAAAAAAACCACATACATACACCCCTTTATCAAACTCCTATACATAATTTTAAAGGCATTCAGTACATCACCATTAGAAACATTTAAGTTACTACCTTAAAACTGAACCAAAGATTTTTTGTTTCTCCAAATGAAACTCTATACAATCTATGCTTATTTGGGTTTAGGAAATTCAATTAAGTACAGCACAGACAACCATTTCTCTAGTAACTGTAATTTTTCAAATGAGGCAATTCTTCCCTCCATCTTAAAAAAAAAAAAAAAGTCTACCTGGCAAGTGCATGATCAGTAAGCCAGCTGGAAGCTCAGTGTTCACTAGATATTCTGGATTTCACTGAAGATCAAGTAGTAACACAAAAATACAGTGAAAGAGATAGTGGACAGTTTATCAGTAAGTTGGCAACAGTTTTTGTATTGGACATAATCACAGTGCTTGGAAACAAGCATAACTAATGTCTGTCAGATACTGCTGGAACTTTAGCTTGTGTGTTTATTTGTTATAGTGAGTGCAGGTTTATTGCAAAGCTTTCCTTTTTGGGTTTTGCTGGAAGAATTCAGCAAATTATTATTTTGGGTGTAAAAGGAATAAGGAGATGGGGAACTCAACATGAGCTAAGTTAACATTCAGACTATATTTTTCTAAACAAGTGTTTTTAACACATGTAATTTCCAGGATATTTGGACACTATACTTCTTAGATTTATTTGCTTTGTAAAATACTTTTATTCCAGTTTGTTGTCAACACAAGAAACAAGAGTCCTGGGAGGCTGGGGGGGAAACCAACTTCAAGACTAACTCTGAATACTTCCTGTTCACCCTGTTTCCAGTTAGAGAGAGCTTTCCCCAATAGAGAAAGAGGTCAAAACTGGTCATAGGCAAGATTTTAAACTTGAATTTGTTCATTAGCTGTGCAATGCCTGCTTTCCCATGAAAGCAATGGATATCACCACAGTTAGAACACTTATGGCACTTTTCCTCTATAACATTATTAAAAAAAAAATCTGCCCGGTGTCTTTCTGATCTCAAGACAGAAAAGATATCTTACACAGGCACATCAAGTAGGATTTACTGAATTTTCCCCCCCATCTTTCAATTCTAACCAAACTGCAAAAAGGATGTTATCAATCAGGTATTCCTATTTTCCATATCTTCTTTGAAAATCTCTAACAACCTATTTTCACTTGGCTAAGACATGATTGCACCATTTTTTTTTAAATGACTATTCCCAACAGTCATTCCAGGTCCTGTAAATTAATTGTGCTTCCGGTGAACTGAGAATTATCAGAACCTGCATCATCTTCTGTTGAGTTGTGTGGCTCCTGTGAAAGAAGATAAATACTGTCAGGGAATGGAGACGACGAATTTTTACCACAAAAGAAATGGTGAAAGCTGCATAATGTTTTTGTTTGTTTTTATATTCAAACAATATTGGATTGACCAAAAAGACAAATGAAATAATTCAAGAGTGGGACCACTTTTGGGACTCACCCTGAAGTGATCGCTGTTACAATGCTGGGGGGAAGGGGAGGGCGTTGATAACTGTGGTTTTTCCCTAGTAGAAGGAGCACGCATGTTTGATTTGACTTCCGTGGGGCAGCAATTTGACAACTGTAAATCCCTCTACTACGTCAACAACAAATAGTGATGTCCTATCCTCAAAGGTTTTATGTCTCAGGTATATAGCAGCATGTTTCCAGACATTAAGAGTATTTTGAATAAGTAGCAAGAAACTTGAAGTTAACTTTGCCCACAAAACTTTTTGGATGCAAATTGCAATCAATAAAGCTCTTTTGTAGTTTACTGCTGTCCTTCTACATCCCTCCCCTAACCCACACACTGCAATTAATACTTACAGTCAAGAGAAATGCACATCACCTAGCCAACTGTGATTTTCAGATCATACAGTAAGGCATTTCCTTTGCTTCAGCTTCAACCACTTTGTTACAACATTTTTAGTAGTAGTACTGACGTATTTTTCACAGCCCAGTTGCCATCAGGGTTACTTCCAAAGCACTGTCCCCCTACTTGTTACGTTTCTGGTAGTTATCATTGGGTTCTATTCATTTTAAATATAACAACCACATCTGCTATTACACCAGTGGTTCCCAACCTTTTTAGACCACAAACCAGAAGTGACTGCGGACCAGCAGACTGCGGGTTATGGCACACCGGATGGTGCCTGCTGGCTCTCGAATGCATCCACAGAGCCAGTGGACACTGCCCTGTGAAACTGCCAGATGTGAATGGAGCAGGGACAGAAGAACAGCTCCGCAGTCCCTGGGGGCCCTCTGTGTGACACAGGCCTTTCCAAAATGGCTTATGAAATATGGGCCATAGATCACCAAGGGTTGGCCGCCGGTCCACAGTATGCTGGTCACTTCCAGACTTCTGGTCCAGCAGCCAATCCTCCTGTGGACTGGCAGCCAACCCTTCACAGCCTGGGCTTTGGGAACCTCTGTATTACACCATAACCACTATGGAGAGCTGGGAATGTATAAAACTGTCCTCCTTTTCCTTATGGAACTTCCATTCTGCTCTGTCATCTCCGTTTGCGTGATGATTTTAAAGCTCTGGGGTTTCCCTTCTTTAAAAAAAAATAAAAAAATCTGCAAGCCAGATTTTTCAGTACCTGGCAGCTTTCATTCAGGCACCAACCTGTGGCATTTTGAGATGTCTTTCGTGATGCAACCATTTCATTTAATCTCAGAAGACTATTTAAACAACCTCTGCATAGTGGACCAGAAAAAGAGAAAAAAAAGAGGCAGCAGCACCTGGAAAAACAACTGCCAATGGCATCGCAAAGTTTTGGCCTAATAATATACAAGGCAATCTTAGCCACAGTTCCAGCAGCTATGTCCTCTTGTTGCAGCCCAGCTAGGGGCTACTGATTTAAGCTTTGGTGTGAAAGTAATAAACACTTTTAGAGTGCTGACAGAGGTGGAAGCCAGACAAAACACAACAAAACGTGCTTTACCAGAAGCAGCAGTGTGTTGTTAGCTCAATCCAGCTCTGCAGTGTCTGTATAGATCAGCACTTCGGTAGGTCTTTTTGGCACTTTTATGACACTTGATTCAGTCAAAAAGTCCTACAGAAATGCCCGACCTATACGGATGTTGGGCAAGCTGGGTCCAACTAACACAATCCCTCTTCTGGGCATGTGCTGGGCTTGGCATGGGGGTGCATGGAGGTTAAAGCACTGTTTTGGGGAGGAGGGTTGCGTCGGTAAGCAGACTTATTGTGCCAGACTGAAGAGATGGCTGTAAATTCTTTTCTTTCCAAGAACGACAGAAAAGGAACCAATGTTCCACATTGTTATACCTGCAGTATGTGAACAGGCAAGTCTACTGTAAGCTGAGAATGTGATGTGGAGGATTGAGAGCTGAGCTGGAAGGGCAAGTCCCCTTCTCCTGGGGGATCATCCTGTAAAGGGAAAAAAGGACAAGGCAAATATGAAACTTTGAAGTGCCTCCTAGAATCACAAAGCAAACTTCACTGCTGTCACTTTAGCTCCTTTAAAAACCAAGTTTAGGAAAGACAAGTGCCTCATTGGTTAAACATTACGCATCCAAAGATACCCAAGCTTTCAAAACTGAAAAGGTCTAACCATGACTCAAAAAGAAGGTGAACCACTCACCTTATATTCAGTAACAGGTTGGAAACTGAAGGCTTTTACATACCCTTTCAAAAAAGACTATATTTATTATTACATTTACATGTGTTCACTCCCAATACCAGTTTGCTGCAGATGCAGTGGTTACCTGCCTGTGACCCTCCTCCCCACTCCATGAGAGACGGAGGAAAAGAAGAAAAGGGGGGGGGGGGGGGGGGGGGGGTTGATACACAAGAGTTTTCCACATGGCCTGCTCCATGCCTTATTAGGAAGCATTCTTCCATAACTATGTTTATAAAGTTTTTAATATCTCAATCTTAAGTGATTGTTATAACATGCTGTTATAGCCATGAGATTTCTGCCTCAATGCAGGGAAGAACAGTCTCCCTTATCTAAACAGTGGCTTAATATTTTGTTTTCTCCTTATCCATTATGCAGCTGCCACCCTACTTCGCACCGCATAACTCAAGACTTGCTCCTGAAGATGGAATAATTTGATTACAGGCAGTTCTTTTACTGTAGTTCGGTAGATACAGTGAAAAGAGCAGTGTTCCCCTTCCCCAACTTGTTCTTACTTCAAGCAGGTGCTTCCCAAAGACCTGTTCTCTTGGGGCTGCTCTTGCCCCTAAGCAGTATTTCTCCAGGGCCTCTGCTCCAATGCAGCTACTCCTGCAATTTCTCTATGCTGCCTCTGGCCTAAAGTCTCCTTGTGCTACACTGCTTTATGCTGCCTGCTGCTCCCTGTCCTGCAAGTCTGGACTTCCCCAATCACCCATCTCTCTCTCTTTCAGACTCCCCAGCAACTTAACTGCATCACTCACCGCCACTGCTCAGCATAGCTATCTAGAAGTAACATTTACAGATTCTACTTTGTACGGAAGCAGGTATTCCTAAAAAACTAAGCAGGGGTGGATTTAAGTGCATGCTCACTGGGTGTGTCTACATGAGACGCTTACTGCACATTAGCCTAATAATATTGTGCAGTAGTGTGGTGGTTAAAAACTATGCTAATAGCCTACTGCACAGTGTTATTAGGCTAATGCACAGTAAGAGAGACAAAATAACTCTAGTTACTGCGCACTTAGTTAGTACCTTCTTAAGCAAGCACTAAACGCACAGTATCTAAGGCGCATTAACGAACATACAGATATGCCCACTGAGGAGGAATCCCCAAATAAGTGCTTATACAGGGGATCTTATACAAGCTTAAACTGGCTCTATTCCAGTTGCTTCTACAACTATTTCTAAAGAGGCCTGTTATTACCGGCTAGATGTTAAGGAATGCCCACCCTCTTTTTAGGAGCATAAAAACATTCCTTTTAGACAACAACCCTGAATTACATCAATGCATTGTTATGGAATGTCAAGATATATCATGACTAATCAATGTTAGCAGACATTATCAGAAGTTAAAACAATTAAAATCTCCTAATCAAGTCCCAGTATATATAGAGCCAGGTAGATTATTTTATGTTTTATTCACGTGTTCTTACCTGAAGTAACTGAATTTGCACGTACTGTGCTCCAGTGGCTGGGTCCCTCATTGTTAAGCCTCCATTTGGCAAAACAACATTGCCTCCCATTCGACTGCCATGACTGGAAGATGAGAAGTTGGTAGGACTGACTTTGCCACCTTTACTTTTCCTCTGGCCAGAGTTTGCTGCCCCTGAAAGAAAAGTTATAATGTTCAATATTGATATTGGGTAGTCTAGTTCATTTGGACGGTCTCTCACTGGGACTTCTCCACTTCTGCTTATTTGGGCTGTGACATTACTGAATGCTAATATGTCTACAGTACTTCACTTTGCATGTTCAGAGTACACAATTGCTAAGTATTAGAACACAACTACTAAAGCAAGATGATAGTCAATTAGCTTATGAATTCTGACTGCTGGAGTGAGCAAGCACCACTCTCACCCTGAGGAAAAGCAACTCTCTTTAACAGGAATTCCATCTGGCTTCTCTGAACTTGGCATTAAAAATAGGCACCATGCTAATAATGTCAAAGCAACAGCATTTTCCGGAGTTAGAAGATGAACTGGGAACTGGAAATCAAATTTGGGTTTCCCAAATCTGCAATCAATTGCCTGAGTGACTGTGGTCGAATCATGTACATCAGTTTCTTAATCTAGAATACACAAACCATAAGGCTTCTCCTCTGGAAAACATTTTAAAAGTGTTGGATGGAAGTATGAAGTCCTCATTACTCACGATATGGGCAGTCACTAATAACTAGAGCTGGCTCAGAAGCAGGGTTTCTAGTTTGCAGGGGAATTTAGAGTGTGGTTTTCATCCAAATCAGATCAAAAACAATTTTTTGAGGTGTCTGCAGAACAAGCAGCTTGTGGAACCCTGCAGTTGCTCAGTAAAATTGACTCACTTTCCAGCTTCGCTACTACTGCATTTTCTCACATACCACACACCTCCAAGTAAAACACGCACCTTACTTTTAGAAGGCAGAATGTAGAAAAAAAGATTTTTCCAGAGTCATGGCCGACTGTGTGACAGAGTAAGTCCTCCTGGAAACAGAGGGTCCAGAAAGTGTGGATCCCAGGAGACAGTCTGGGTGAGGCAGCAGGAACTTCCTGGTGTGGCAGGTCAGTAAGAAGGCTAGGCCCCAGACCCTTGCAAGGGCAGTAGTAAGACTGTTACTTCTTTACTGTAAATAGTTCTTTATAAGTTCCTGTAAATAATAAAGTGTTGTTTCCACACCACAAGGCTCATCAAGACTGCATGCAGCAGTTCATTCACCCTCAGCCAGTTCAGTGGCTCTTCAGCCAAAAGCTACTGTTTCATCAGCAGCTCTGAGAGGGTTAACACTGGACTCTACCTCTGCTATCTGGAGCCCCAGGGAGAAATGGCAGCCATCTTGGTGGCCACAAGTCAGTGTTTGCTTGCTCTATTCTATGCTGTTTCTATTCCAGCAAAGAAGAAACAAACTTCCCTGCTTAAGATATGCACCCCAATTTTGGAGGGCTGGTTTAGTGGGTAAAAGGTTCATGTGATATACAGATAAATATGGTAACAGCAGCAGCAGCAAAACTGACAAGAAATGTCAATTTCACCAACCAGCTACAAGAGGCATCCAGTGTCCCCAGCCGGGGCCAGACCAGCCAAAGAGATACTTGTTCCAAGGCTAGGGAACTTGCGGCTTCTAGAGCTCTTCATCCTGAAAGCATGCCCTTTCAGGAATCTACACAGGGTTCAAAACCAGACCTTGGATTTGGCAGAAGTTCAATCCAACTCAAGAAGTTTCAAAATAAATATTATGGGCTCAATGAACAAGTCGATTTTCAATTAAGTTTTATTTTGTTGGAAAATATGACCAGTTACACAGACACGAGCCCAAGAACTCTTAGCAGGAGACCCCAATGAATGAGTCTGACAAGTTTCAAATGTATTAATCATAGATAACATGAACAGTAAGAGCTTCTTGGCCTGCAAGACATTTAAATCCTTTTCTTTGAAGTTGGGGAAGATTTTTCATACTGGCTATCTAGAGTCACAAAAATCAGGAAATTTTTCAGGAACTGCTCTGTCTTTAGAACTAGGTTCAGGGATACCATGCATAACATTTCACCACAAAGACACTTTACTTCATAATTTCCAGATAACTGAGGCTATGCAGAATTATTGCACTTTCCCACAAAGCTATCAAACATTTCCAAAATGCTGCAGCTTAATTTTATTTAGTTTCATTTTGCCCACAGCTCGTCGCCGCATACTGCTAAGTTTTCTACAGCCTAACAATGCTGATATTTTGGCTCCAAAACACTTCCCTTATGCTGTTTACATTCCAAATCAAGTACTTGTTTGGATTTAAGTATCTGTCTGCTCAACTGAAACTAGAAGCTGTTGCACACTTATTCAAGAGAACCAGAAAATAATTATGATCGAAAGCAATGCTGAAAAACGTTATTGTTCATACTGGTTAAAAATATGAACAGAAAACAATTAAATACTTCGTATTTTTAAGTCAGGCGTATTTTTTTTTAGATTAAGTATTTAATCTTTTTAAAGATTGTTTTAAACTTCAGATGTTAGAAGAGGGAATTAAAAAAAAGACTTTGAACTTTCAGGTGTTCATCTATTGTGTTAAAGTATCTTTAGATGCAAGATTTGAAGGGGTACAAAGAGTTGTATTTTACTGCGTATGTATGGAACAGAAGAAAAAAGGAATGCATTAATTTGCGTAGCACTAACACAAGTATGTGGCAGGCTAGATAAGGTATTTAATTTGAGAAGTGAACTGATACTCATCTAGCTCTTTCATACGACAGGTGCAAATTCAATGCAAGCCTCCTTTCAATCTTGGATATCATCATACATGCATCTTGTATAATTCTGCATAATTACAGATTGATTCATAACAGATACAGAAAGACAGTGTTCTTGATTTACATTACATCATCTTTTTAAAAAGATAAGTAAAGCAGATACATGCATAGCTCTATAAAGCAAGAGACAGGAGAGCATTTAATTTGAAAGTTATCTTTTACTTACCTCAAGACAATTGTCACCTTGATTTTCAGAGATGGCAGGCACCAAGAAACAGTAAGGAAGAACAAAAATGTACAGTATGATGTTCCTCTCCCATTGAGGGTAGTTGCAACTCAAATAGCTGTCTTGTTATTTTTCTGTGCAACTCTAGTGAGCCATGGAACACATTTCATCTGACAAAGCAATAGTGCATATTCATATCAGACAGCTATGAGTTCAACTTCAGGTTAAAGGGAGGAGGATATTAAACAGGACACACACAAAATGTGGCCCAAAGCTTGTGTTTTGTTTTTAAAAAGCTACACAACCTTGAAGGTTAATCAAAAGGCTGCAAGTGTCTAAAGAAACTCAACAAATAAATTCCCCTGCACTGCCTAGAAACTAATACTGCAGCCATGTGCCAGAGCCTAGAGGCAAGATAAACAATGAGGACAAACTAGTCTACACTGAATAAAATAAAATGCAAAAAGCAGACAGAAAGCACAACATAAGATCATCAGATATTTTAATCTCTTTCGGTCTTAATGCACAAAAGGTCATATTTGGAAGAAAACAAAACAAAAAAAACCTGAAGGTGAGCGAAGTGGGAATTTAAGTCTAACTTTCATCCGTCAGTGTCTCTGCAGCATAATTGGAAATCTATAGCATAAATTAATTCTTAAATCATACCAATGAATATGAGACTCCACAAAGACCATCTTCAATAGCAGCTCCCCCCCCCACACATGCCTTTAGTACTGATGAAAATCTGAGAAATCTATTCCCGTGTCATTGTGAGAAGATGCACATTACTAAGCCAGGAAGACAGCTCCTCACCTGTACTGCTGCCATTCCCTTTCTGTTTTCTTTTCTTGGCTAACTGGATAGCTCTGTAGTCTGTTCTTGCAGATCCACCACTCTCCTAGAAAAACAAGGGAAAAAGATATTTGATCTTTTATGCACCGAAACAATAAATTAATGAAACCAAACCAACAAATTATTAGTTGAAGCGTCTTGAACATTATCTAAACACTGGCTGGTAGGGATTTCAACATGAATAAACTTTTAAAACAAATTGTTAGCGCTCTAGTAGATCTCCATTGCACACTGCACATTAGAGGCCATCTCCAAATTTATCAGCATTATGATTTTTAATAGCCACGCTGTAATAAACGGAATATTTCAGACTTTTTTTTTTTTTTTTTTTTTTTAACAAGAGACTCATATCTAACTGTAGCATTGTACAGTGGATGGAAAAACAACATTAAAAACAGTTATGGGAATGAGAACCAAGCTAGGTGCTCTAGTTGCTTTCTAGGCCCAAACTTTTTATGGCATGGTGTTATGCATTATTTTCAAGTAATTCACCTGCTTAAATTTTCTTAGATATACTTCATCCAAAGGGGTTATACGTTTTTTTTTAAATACAATCTTTAGCTGGAATAGGGTTCCCCCTCTGCCCCAGAGAAAACCAGAACTTTTAAAAGAATTATCACTATATGTACACACACACACACACAAAATGTGTGACAGCGTAGATCAGTGCGAGAAGTCTGCCTTTAAGTTGTAAGCAGCAACGGAGTATGCTCAAAGTTAAGGCACTTCCCTCATCTGGGGAAAACTGAATGTAAAATCACCGCATACCAAAAAAGAACTGCCAGTCACTGTGCTAAGGTCCATTTCTTTCTGAGCACTGTAGCTTCCTGGGGGGTTGGAGAATACAAACTGTGTCACGACTTTACTGCCTTCCTGTTGGCCAACAACATCTGAATTGGGAAGCAAATTTCGTTCAACCTTTGTTGGAGTGAGTAACTCAGGCACGTTGCTTCCACCCAGGCTGCTGGACGGGGTCAAAGTGGCAGTGTCTATTGTTAGATTATTGCTGGATGTCAAACCATGCATATCTTGACTGGAATTCCTCACTGATAAAGATGCTAGTGAGCCCAAGGCTTCTGCATTTACAGTCTGTACATCGTCCAGATTTAAAGTGCTTTGCTGCAGAACTGTAGTAGGGGTTCCCAGCAAGAGAGAACTGTCCAGACTTTGTGGAATATCATTACCAGCCACCAGTATCAAAGGGTCAACAGTCTGATTTAGGGAACTGCTACTGACAGGAAGATTTCCTCCAAGTGTGGAACCCACTGAAGCAACATCAATAGTAACTATCCCAGAGTTCACGAGTGCCATGTCTGTTGAAATTCCAGAATTGTTGCCAGACACGTTGGAGAAAAGTGACACAAGGTCTATGTTGCTGAGGTCACTTTGTCCTGGACTGGTCAGTTCACTGCTAGGTGTGAGAGAACAGGTTGCTTCAAGCTGGGTTAAAAGATCTGAAAGGAAACATGGTTTCAACACATTTAATTGCAGAAACAGACAAATGACAAAGAAAATAATATTGCACCCCTTGAACTACATCTCCCAGTGAGCAAAAAGTTAAGACCAGGAATATACAAAAGCCCCAAGAGAAACAAAAAAACCCCATATCGATATATTGGAAAAAGGTAAAAAAACAAAAAAAACAAACAAAAAAAAACACACACTCCAAAGCTTGCAGGCACTGCAAATAAGCTAATATTCACGTCAGGATAGTAAGGTTTACACGTGATAGACACATACCAGAACCAAGACAATTAAATGATGAAGAAATATTCTGTATGAAAGGGTGTGGACACAATCAACATTCATCATGCTTTGAAATAAGCTTCAAAGCACAAGTGAATGAATAAATAATGCACAGTGCTATAAGCACTACAGTACAGCCCTTACTATATCAAAAATAATCCTTGACAAACAAGCGTTTGAAGGGCTTTTGGATACATCTGTCCTCCCTGTTTAAGGAGCTTCTGTTTTGTGTTTTATTCCCTTTGCTTGTGTGCTGTTCTGCCTCTTACTGTAAGCAGCCCAGAGCCTTTGTTGGGGAGGGTAGCATATAATCTAGTTTAATTAGTTACTAAAAAGAGTGAAAACAGAGTGCTTAACATTACAGGCAAAAGACCCTATATAAAAATATTTTACAGTAAATATTTTCTAAAAACTAAGGCTATTTTAAAGCTAGACTCACTAAGGAAAACGAGTAGAGTAAGTTTCACCTTTACATTAACTGTGACATTCCTTATTTAGAAGTGTGTCTGAAATATCTAGTTGAACCACTGGAATTCACTATGAAATGCTCCTATTCAGTTTGTTATCTAAATATAGGATGATTCTTTACGTTTGCTGTCCTACTAAAAAACAAGACTACTTTATAGCTATAAAGAATAATCCAATATTGACACTGCCAGACCGCACAGGAATATAGGCATCTCAAGTTCAGTTTCTATTCTCTAACCCTCCTCCAGAAACAGTCCATATTGAACATTCAGATTAAAAGAAGAGAAATATTGCTTTAGTCTTCATTAGGTTCTTCAAAAAGCCGTGTCAAAGCATCCTCATCAGTGGCCTACTTGGTTCACAAATTTTAAATCTCTAAATCACATAAACCAAACTCTAGTTAGTCTGACACAGCTTCCACTAAGTTTATTACATTATGCGTGTAAAACCACACAGGGAGAAAAATCTGACCCCAGATAATTTTGCTACTGGTTTTCAATGGGGTCAGGATCTACTCACACGATTTTATTTATAAATATATTGATAGTTTAGACTTCCTTCTGTACAGCAGCTATAACGATTCTGTAACAAATGTTTTACCTGGACTGAAATTGTGCTGTTTCACCATGTGCGTCTTCATGCTATGCTTGGATGTGAACAATTTATTACAACTGGACACAGGGCAACGGGTCTTCAAGGAATCCACATCCTGCAGATGTTTCTTAGAATGAATATACAAGCTACTGCGTGCAGAAAACTTTGCACAACAACCTGCAACAAGATGCACGGATATTGAAGTATTTCCCCCACTTTTATTGTAAATCAGCAATTAAAAAAATTCCCTAGATAAAAAAAAAAAAAAAAAAATCATACAAATAAGATTGTTCTACTTAGCTCTAGCTTTTGGGCATGCATGCTGCATATTAATGAAGGGAATACAAAGAAACTAGCACAGGTTCTCACAGAGGCAAATACCATACCAAAGAAACAGAGTGAAACATCTGAAAGCATGATGCTAGAACGACGGAAGCAAAGCTGACCCTCCCACTTGCCTATTAACTCAGTAGGAAATAAAACCCTCCCCCATAAAGGCTTATTAAATTGAATTGAAGCACCTAAAATAGCCACTGATGAATGCATAAAAGAGGAAGAAATACTTGTGACAGACCTAGAGAAGATACTATTTTTTGCAGTGAACCATAGGTATACATGTTCTTTATTATTACCTACTTAACTTCCTAATTTGTGTTTATATTCTAAGGTAAGGCATTAAACCAAACAAACAAACCAGCCACCTCACTAGACACTTTGTCCTAGTGATTTCCTGCAATAGCAAAATTCAACAAATACAGTATTTAACTTTTAGCAGTTTAAATACCTGGCCATTCAGACAGGGGTGTCTAAGATGGCCAGATATGATGACCCTTGTCTAAGACACTAACATGCTTTTACCACATTAGTTGTTCAGCCTGAGCAGCCCTTAACTTGAATGTGATTTAAGTTCAGAGACCATTTATTGAAGGAAGGAATCAAAAGTGAACCCAAAACCACACCACTGATTTTTCCATAGGACCAAAACCAGAACAGTTCTTTAGGTAACTTATTCTGACCTCAAAAAAGAGATAAGGATTGGAGGAGAGTATAAGGAAGGGCAGAGTATAAGGAGTCAGTGTGGGAACAAGAGAACTAGGACAAAGGGACAAATGGGAGCTCAAAAAGCAGTCTAGGGAAGAACACTAGAAATACTAGTAAGGGAACAGGGTTGAGAAAAAAAAAAAGCTCAGACAAGAAGCTAAGGTGGGGAAATAACAAGTAGAAGAGTCTGTGCCTACTGGAGCACTTTCACCTTGGTACCTAGAATGGAACAAGATGCCAAAGTCAGAAAACATCTCATGCCCATCTCCTAATCTGCAGATCACCTACTAATGCTACCAGTCTGTTAACTCAAGTGACAAAAGTCTGTACCACAGATCTGAAATTTACAGCCCTGCCAATGAATCCTTACAGGACTTAACATAACGTTATAATAGAATTTATTTTTTTAAATTGCCAAAAAATGTTAATGCACAAGATCAATCTGCTCCAAAGATGAATTAGTGCTGAGCAGTAAAGGCAGTTTTTCTCTGTAAGACCCACTCTTCTAACCATATAGGTACAACTAATAACCTGCTTATAACTTAAGCAGCAGCAGTACCATAACTAAACATCTTTAACTGACGTCCGAATTCTGCCTTCTTCCACCCACATATCAATATACAATATATTCTCACAAAGGCAGTCTGTACATAGGGAAAAGCTAGTCAAGAAGTGCATCAGAACAGCAAAACATGGTTTTCAGACCAACGATGGTGTTTACTACTTTCCCAGCTTGGAACAAATCAAATTAAAATTAATTATGAAAGATACGTTCCATAACATCCAAATTCAGTTAAAAATGTGGATGCAATGTAACCCTCTCATGATTTCAAGTGACAGAATAATACAACATGTGTTCTCCCCCTCCCTAATTTGGCACAAAGCTCATTCAATCAGATATTTTAAACAACCTACAAAAAGGCAAACCAAAAAACAACACACCCCAATTGTTAACTGTCCAAAGCTTCAATCCTGCAACAAGACTGACATGGGCAAAGCTTACCACCTATTACATGAGCTAGCAACTAGTTAGCAGCACACAAAATCAAGAACATGAACAATACCTTCCACCGGGCATTCAAATGGTTTTGTACCAAGGTGAGTAATACTGTGGCCTTTCAAGTGTTCTGCTCTTGTGAAGGATTTCCCACAACCTTCTACAGGACATGTAAACCTCCTGTCATCTTCATGCTTCCTACAAAGAAAACACTGTCATTCCCAAAAATCAAGCCGATTACATGCTCATCTCTGACATCGCTTACAACCACTCCAATTCTAAAATGTACTGTAATGCAGGTTACTGTTTCTAACACATTGAATTGATGCAAGCAACTGGTAGGCAAGCAAGGATTTTTAAGACATAATCAGAAGAGTTTACTTTACCTTTTATGTCTTAGTAGCTTGGACATGCTGGTGAAAGACCAGCCACAGCCCTCAAAGTCACAGATAAAAGGCCTTTCTCCTTAAACACAGAAAAAATAAATGTAATTACATAATACAAAAAAAATGCTTCTACTGAGAAGTTCCAACAAGGTTAAGTTACTTTAAAAGTTACATAATCTGATAATTTATAGATTACATTTTAAGCAAGTTTCTTTACCTAGAAGCCATTTCCTACAACTGGATCTGCACCGACAGACCTATAGGCCTGCAAAGCTCTCCTGATAAATTTAAAAGACTCCAGGTAGGAATTCTGCACAGATCCGGTTGCACAATGTGGCCCTATATTAACAAGCATTTCTACTAGTTTTTCCTGCAATCCAATTCATTTTTCATTTAAGTACCATTGCTCTTTCACTCATTTCAGATTGGACAACAAAACCTAAGGCAGTGTCCACTTCAAAGTCACTTTTCCATCTAAAAAAGCCTTAGATAATCACTTTACATAACAATTACTAAAACAAAGATCAGCAAAAATGGGCATTTCTCTATTTGTGCAGTTTACACTGTGCATTTCCGGGCACTTGATGACTCTCTCTGAGAAGCTTAGTTCTTCCCCACTTGCTTGATATCTTTCACACAGTAAGAAGAGCAAATGAAAAACAGTTTTTAAAAAGGAAAAGAAAAACACAATTCTTAGAAACCAAAAGAACTGGCAAGAGAATTGAGGAAAAGTTACAATGCACAAACCTAAGACACTTCTAAAAAATCTGAAGTTGACAGTGTTCCTTACAGATCAATGACATTATTGTTTAGACAGCTTCATGCTCTCACTGTTCAAACTCTTCCTTGGGAACATTTCACATGTTTGTGTTGGTATTTTTAAAAGCTGTGTGTTATATGCACATAAAATTTGTGACTAGAGCTGGGCAAAATGTAGTTCGTGTGCCAAAAAATTCAGTTATGAGTTAACATAAAACTATATAATTGGCAACTGACAAGTTGTCTCATTCAAAGAAACACGGAAAATGTTATGGCAGTTTCAACATCATTTCCTTTTTCACAAGGACATTTTGTTTCTAAAATTTGCCTGATGTATTAAAAAGGATGAAATCCTCCACAAAATAAACTCTTACATCAACTTTAATTAAAGTTCCTTCCCTCTCTATTTTTCAGTTTGACTTGCAAATCAAAGTCTGTTTCTCCCAAAGCTCTATTTGAGACTGTATTTGTACCAGAAGGGATCTTTGTACATCTCGCCAACCAATAAAAAGCTGCACTGTGGATACCTGTGTGACTTCTCATGTGGATTTTCAGTCGGCAGGCTTTGTCATACTGCTTGTTACAGCCAGGGAAAGAACAGGAGAACTGCTCTTGCTCTCTGAAGTGGGCTCGATTATGAGAAAATAATGCACTCACTGTGATAAAAGTCCTCTCGCAACCTAAGGAAAGAAGGGAACACTGTGTTCATTTGGCATGAAAAATAAAACAATCAAATTTAACTCTTTACCATACTTCTCTTATGGGCTGTGTAGGTAAAATGATTTCCTTAGCTATGTTCTTTGTGGTGCTGGTGAAAAGAAGAAGAACTTGTTCTTATTCAATAACAACAACAAATATACATATATTTTTAAACCTACATAAAACCACACTAGGTCTCGTAGCTTGATGCATTGTGGCCCGCCTTTGCAGCCTGTAAAAATCCACGGCATGGCTTGATTAGGAGTTGGAAGGTGGGACTGGGGCAACTTAAGATTCAATGCTCACAAGGGGGGGGACTATACATGAACACAGAGGCTCTCGTGCTGGGGCTGAAGTCAGAGGTTCCTGGCTAGAGTCTTGCCCCGCTGCTCAGGGTCAGACCTATCACCTGATTTGGGCTCAGGAAGGAATTTTACCCCATGATTAGACTGGTACAAACTTTGGAAGTTTTTGCCTTCCTCTGTAACAGGAGTCATATCGCTCTACACCTCTTGAGCACATATTAACAACATCTCATAGATGCAGGATTGTGGCTGCCCTGGTTCCCCTGCTTCACCTGTGGCAAGTTAGGGTGTTAGGTCTGTGTTGTGTCAAGGCTGACAGTAATTTTATGTAGTTCAGATGATGGTGTGGGATGGTTTGGATAGGGCTGATCCTGCCTCAGGCAGAGGTCAGATGAGATGGCATCTGGAGGTCCCTTCCAGCTCTACAACTGACTCCTTGCTGTTATTACTCTCCCACCCTCAGCTTTTCCCAGTTAAGCTCACAGATTCCCAGGACAAGCTATGGCATGGTCCTGCCTTCTGAAGCCTCCTCAAACAGACCGTTTGCATAACTTCAGGCTTAAAGGGATCAACTGCCTACGTTTGTGGAAACAGGAACTGCATTTTGTCAATAAACTAGACTGCATTGAGGAAAAACTTGACAATCATCGATTTCCCTCCCTAATGGAAACAGTCTCTAAGGTCCCTTGCAGCCCTACTTCTCTTTGACTATTAAAAAACAGGCAGGCAAAACTTGTAATGTCATCAGCTACTAATTGTACAACAGAGAATGCCTCACCCAAAGGCCATGAAGACATCAAGCTAAGAAGAACTAAAATGGCTCTCTCTGGGCTTTTTTTTTTTTTTTTTTTTTTTTTTTTTTTACAGAAAGTTTTTATTCATGAGGGTGGGTGTTTCAGAAACAAACAGCCCAATGGCTGCCCACGCTGTACATCTGCAACCAAATGGGAAACTCTACAGCAGTGGCAAACACCAAAGGAGGTATTGTCAAATGCACCAATAATTTACAACAATGCAGTGATGTGATGTGGCCCATTGAATGATCACTGCACTCAAAATTGTTTTACTTCAAAACAATGTTTCTGAAACACCCTTGTATAGAGACTAAACCATGCAGTAGTAAGGCCTTCTTCCTTTCACCAGCGCTTTCTAGGAACATAGTCCTACCACACCACGCAACTCACATAAAAATAAAATTCCAGTCAAGTAGCCAGTGACAGAAAAAAAATCCAACCTGGGTTCATAAAACAGCTCAAAATACCCACTAGCCTTATGGATATTCTCATCCTGGCAGTAGTCATTTAAGATCAAACTCTGCAGTGGTAACTTTTTAGCCTGAAATCCCACTGAATCTGAACAGAGTTCTCTCCCAGTGGGACGAAAACCTGATGTCAGGGGTCCTGAGGAACAGACAGAGGTGCTTTCTGGTCCAACGGGCTCAGCAGCAGAGCAAGTTTTCTCTCTGCGTGCACACAGCATGGACCTGGCACGTGACAGTGACACAGGCTCCATCGAGGGCAAAAAAAATCTCTCAGGTGCCAAGAGCCCCAATGCCCATAAGCCAGAACTGACTGGGTAGATGCATCCACAAGGCCAGGAACAGATCCACCGGGCACTGATGGGGGTGGGGGAGGAGACACAAAATGAGGTATGGCCTGTGATGTCGTGCCCTGCATATGTGCAGCAAGCAAACCCCAGTCCCCTCACAGCATCAGACCAGACAGGCTCTTTTAAGGAGCACCAAGCGGGAAGGAGGGATGCAGTACAGGTGGGCAGCTCTGGGGAGCAACCTAAGGGTTTTGTGGGGTCCTAATTTAGGACATTATAGGTGGGCAGCTCTTGGGAGAGACCTCAAATGGGGAGTGGGAAGGCTCAAGGCTCCTAAATTGGGGTATTACAGGTGGGCAGCTCTAGGGACAAACCCAAGGGCTGGGGGGAGGGGGAAGCTCCCAAACTGGGGACATTACAGGTGGGCAGCTCTGGGGAGAGACATGGGGGGGGGGGAATGGCTCCTTATTTAGGGCATTACAGGGGGGGCAGCTCTTGGGAGAGACCTAGTGGGGTGGGGGGAGGGAGGAAGGCTCCTAATTTGGGGCATTGCAAGTGGGCAACACCCCCCCTTCCATTAGGTCTCTCCCCAGAGCTGCCCACCTGTAACACCCAGAATTAGGGACCTCATAACCCCTTTAGGCTTGGGGGGGGCCCTAAACAGGGGCCTTACAGGTAGGCAACACCTCCCTTAAGTCTCTCCCCAAATTTGGGGCCTGTAATGCCTAGGGTTGCCAACTCTGTTTGAACCTATTCCAGGAGATTTCATCACATGATGCAATGACACAAATGAGTCATTACATCAGCAAGGCAAATGCACACGACTCTTACATTTTGAGAATCCATTGGGCTACTGTATAAATCGGATTCAACATTTAATATTTATTTTAACGAATGCCCTATCGTGTCTCTCCTGGGTGACTCTCAGCTGTCTCCTGGACATTTATATCTAATTCCTTTAGACTCCAGGGCATTCTCGGAGGGCTGGCAACCCTAGTAATGCCCCAAATTAGGGGCCTGGTAACATCCTGTTGGGAGCTGTGCAGGGGAGGCCCCTCACCGGGGGTGTGACAGGGGGGCAGGCTGCAGGGGGGCAGCTCTGGGAAGAGCCCTAAGAGATGGGGGGAAGACTCCTAAATTGAGGAGACACCTATAAGGGGGAGGGGTGGGGTGCTCCTAAATCAGGGCAGAGACCATCCATAATACCCAGTTAGAGACCTCATAACCCCTTGCTGGGAGCTCTGGGGAGAGACGTAGCAGGGTGGAGGTGGTGCTCCAGGGCGGGCGCTCACCGGGGTAGTCGCAGCGGTAGGGCCGCTCGGGCTCGAGGTGGGCGCGGCGGCGGTGGGCGGCGAGGCGCGCGGCGCCGGGGAAGCGCTGCCCGCAGGCCTCGCACTTGTGCGCCGCCTCCTGCTCGTGGGCGCGGCCGTGGGCGCGCAGGGTG